TGATAACTCTGATTTTTGAAAAATCATTGACATTTCCTTTTAAATGAGTATGATAAGAAACTAGTGTGACTACTAAAATAGAAATGCTTCCATGTGGCATCAAGTAAATTAAAATAATTGTCAGAAATAAACATATACACAGTACTGCAGATCGTCAGGGACGGCCCTTCATTTACTTACATTCCTGCCAAATTATCAATAAATACAAGTCATTCATTTTCAGCATCAGGGAAAAAAACAGAACATTACACAGTCGCCTCAACTAAATATAATATTGTATCGACCTGCTACAGGCTGGTCTCTAGATGCTCGCAAGGCATGATCAATGCTGATGGCCACGTCAGGAGGATCATGGGTAGCGCACACCCTTTGGAAAACGGACTATTTGTGCTGTCTATGTTGTTGTCCATCCGCATTATTCTGTGTTGGGGGTTGTAGGTTGTTAGTGTGTTTTGTGTATCAGGGTTTGAGCTCCCCCATGAGTTCAGTGCTTTGCATGTGCTGTTCTGCTGGTGTTCAATAAAAGAACACTTCTCGCAGCACAGTCATGGCCTCCCCTGTGTTTTACTTTGCGCCGACACCACAAAATCTAATTTTTCAGTGTGTAGTGTGTCCACACTTTGCCTTCATATTTTTTGTCCAGCCTTCATTCTTTCCAGGAGACTTACTTTCAGTTTTGCAAGGAAATCTGCAGGGATATTTTCTCCACACCTCCAAAGTTCAGCCTTAGAAGTTGGTTGCATGCTTCACGTAATCCCAATTACAAATTTAGACTCACCATACTCCACATTTGAGATGTCCAGTGTTGGTGGTCTAGTGCAAATTTCCTTTTCTCAGTAACAGCTTTGTGGCAGCATCCTTTCAGACTCATAGTGTTGATTTGTCTTCTCAGAGTGAAAGGATAAATTGAAACACCTGTGGATTTTTTCAGATCTGAAGCAAGAGTGGAGCTTGATTTTCTCCTCTCTCAAAGGTGAATTTGGGGTTACTCGACATTTAACAACATTTAACATACCAATAGTAGAGCAAGAACCACTGATAGTTCACATGATGTAGGGAAGGAGAGAACACAATTCCCCCAGAACATTGATATTTCTCAGAGGTTCAAATTGCTGGGGTCAAATTGACCCCAAGAATAAAAGACGTCAGTAAATTTGAGGATGATCATTTTTTGAGCTTCAGTTTTTTGACTTTCCCTTTTGTTATGCAAGTAGATGATTTTATATCTAATCTCCTCTGTCAGATCTCCTGGAAAATGAATAATTAAATAACGAAACAAACACACAAAAAACACAACAAAAATATTAACTACAGTAGTATTCCCCCCATGTTACTCTACTCTTTACTACTTTCAATGATTTTCCCTCCCACGCTTTTCACTGCTGTAACTGTAATGTCAGTTGCGCTATGATATTTATGCTGTTCTCTGACAGATTGTATCTTTATCCCAAAAAGGGTTTCACTTGAGGGGGCGTGAAGTTAGATAAGGTTAATAGGATGGTCCCTCCTCAAAAGCTTGCGGTGCTACCCCTGCAGGCCGGGACTCCCCCAACGGGGCAGAAGAGAGTGAGGGGGCAGCACTAGTGTGAGCGGGGGTGGGGCGCTGACAGACCGAACCTGGATGAGCACGCCATGGCCTTTCTGATCAGACCTCTGTGGCACAAGCTGAGGTTGACGTCCTCAGACTGTCTCCTTAAAAGATCTTTTCGTTGCAGCCACAGGCACTTTCAGTTTTTCCATCCGCCTACTTCTTCGTTCTCTCTGTCTGTCTGTCTGTCTGTATCTCTCTCTTTCTGTTTGCTCTTTTGCTGTTTTGTTGATCTTTGGACAGGTTGTTTTTGTTCTATGTCACACATGAGACATAATTAATTAATTTATTTATTTGTTTCGTCTGGAGGCTGATATAGCTGTTTTGGGCAGGTTCTGATCACCTGATAAAGCGACAGTTCTGCTACTAATCACAGTTACACAAAGTTCTTCTTACCTCGAATAGAGTTAAAGGGGAATATCAACCAGGTTTGTTTACATCTTAACAATGCAGAGTTACATTGTTAAGATGTAAACAAAGTCATGCAAAGTGGTTTGATGTGAAAGGCTCTGCTCTAGAGAAACTTAGTGAGTCACAGTGGTGATGATGGGAACCAGACGTCCAAAGAGTTTAATGCCTTTAAAAGTTTCATGACAGAAATGTATTACATGAAAGAGTTATGAATACCCTGCCTGATGCCTAAGACATTGTTTTATGACAGTTTTGAGACTAAATTTTAGCTTAAAATGCATTTTTTCAATCCATTCATGGCAGAGAGCTGCATCCAAGGTGTTGTAGCCAAAAAAGTCCCCAACGAAAACTTATTGTTTCAGATTTACTACTATTTTACCATCATCAACATTACATATAAAAAAGATTTGTGTAGGTTCATTGGAGGTTTTGGATAGTAAATTAAATGACCAATTTGTGTTGTAAACGTTGTGATCTTTGGTTCCTATCACCTCCACTTTAAAGCCCTAAAACCAAAAACCAGCCAATTGGTTCCATCTTAGTGATTGAATTATGCAGAAATTCTGGAAAATGGGTGGAATTCCCCTGTAAGTAATCTTGAATAGACTTGCTTATGTGATATACTGTTGTATATTAAAATGGATAAAGGTACTTAATAGCGAGAATTCCCTACTTTTGTGCATTTGTAAGTTATTGTGCAAATGTTACTTAACACCTCATCACTGTCTGAGGCAAGCGTGAGATGATTTAGGTGTGAACTCGGCACGTTGCTAAAATTTGCAATTCACTTCCTCACTCTTTACATGTACAGTTTCGTGGTAGTTGCTACTGGCTTTACTACTCTTGGGGCAGTTGCAGCAGGACCTGTGGCACAGCGGCTAGGCCCCCAGGTAGAAAAAGACAAAATGGCGAAAGCCTATAGCATCCTTGCTGTTTAACATCATGAGGAGAAAGAGGCTGAATAGCTGAGCTGGCAAAGTAGAAACGTTTGGACAGCAAGATTACATAGGAAAAACTTTCAGCCATCTTCCTATAGATAATATTCGCAAAAAAAGCGTCCCTCAGCCATATTATTGACATTCTGTCAGCATGATGTGTTTGAGCAGTCAGTGCCCACTAATTAAATGAGGATATTTAAAAAAATATATTTTGATCTGTACAAAACTTTTGTTATCTTTGAGTCCCACAATACTGTATCCAGACTTCTATAATAATCCTTCTTTTTATTTTTGTAGTCTGAGAAAATCTTAGGTCTTGGTGACTCAAACTCAACTACTACAAAGTGTTGGTCTCGACTCAGATTCGATGTGTCCAGGTCTCGACCTTGACTGCAACATAAATTCACATTATGAAGTGTCTGATGAGGTCACATGCAAAAATGTCAAGGTCTCCTACTTAGGCCTTGACCACAGCAAAAACCTCACATGCAAATCATGCCCCTTGGCCCACCCACATGAATGTCTGTACCTATTTTGAATAACCTTTCAGTACAAACTACAGAGTGCCTGTGAAATAAATGAGTAATAATAGTGGTGCATCAGTCTGTTTGTAAACCATGAGTGTCTATGTGTCTATGGTGTAGGTGCAGTGGTTTGACACATACAAGGAGGTTTATGAAACCTATCTGCACTGTGGCTTCTCTTGTGTGGGTGATGCCTTTGTAGGTTACTTGCTTGCAAGTGGTGGTTGTGTACGTCTCTCTTTTCTTATATCTGTGTTTGTCTGCGTGTGTGTGTGTGTGTGTGTGTGTGTGTGTGTGTGTGGCTGGAAACTAAACCCATACTGCCAGAGCTTTTCAAGAAGCCCTAGGGAGCACCAGAAATAAAGTGTGCGTGTGAGAGAGGCAGAGAGAAATAGAGAGAGAGAAAGAGAGAGAGACTGAGAGAGCACAGCAGGTTTTGGTTGGAGCTCAGTTCACACATGTGGTTAATCTGCTGGTGTTCTCTTAAGCCGGAAACACTGATCACTAGGGCCCAGAGGGAGGAGCAGGTGTGTGTTTGTGTGAGAGTGTGTTTGCTTGCGTGTGTGTGCGTGTATGTGTGCGTATTCATAAAATCTGTGTCATTATTTCAAACCCTGCCATGATATTCAGTAGATATGTTTATTATTACAATGACATTTACTTTTATTAATGTTGACAGGGTACACAACAATATCTCACTTGTCTGGTATAAACAACAATACCGTAACTAATTTAATAGTTGACCTATAACTTTCTATCATGCATAACACTCTTTAATTAACTCCTCATACCCTGGTATAAAAATGTCTGTAAAAATAATAGTGATAATAACAATCTGCAATGCTGCTTAAAGGGCCTATATCATGGGAAACCAAAGTCCTCTCACTTTTATGAGATAAAAGAGTTTGATGTAGTACATAGCCATTTTTAATTCACTGATTTTGTGATGCCATGGAAAACAGAATATGTATATTGATTCACCTGTTGAACCTACAGCAGTTTACCAGTGCCCATTTATGTGGAAGATATAAGGAGTGTTTCAGCCAAACTGCATCTTGACTGAAGCACAATACAGGGCAGCCAATTAGAACAAAGATCATTTACGTATGGAATCTTTACATATAGCCTTAGAGTTAATTTAATCGTTTTATCTTTTATTAAATAAGTTTGTTTGAATATGTAAACAATTGTAAAATTTTAAAATGCATCTTTCACCTCCCAGTCCATACAGTCTACATGTGAAATGAAATGTCAAAAACCAGCATATTTACATGTAGCCACCTATACATCCTACAGCAATTTAGCCCCGCCCATTTTATTTACATATGTCAGTCTTTAAGGCACAGTAACAAAAACAGTTTAATTCTGAGGAATAAAGAGAGTTGGAAAAAAAGTCATGCACAAATGAATTATGACTGTTTTTTATACATAAAACCACAAGTGGATCTCGGGGGAGAAAATAAAGTAAAAGAAAAAAAAACAGTATGACGTGAGACTTTAAAACACTTTCTTCATTTTGGTTCCACAGCGGGATTCGTTCCTCTGTATTGCCGGACAGATTTCAGCGACGCACAAGGAAGAAGGTGAAAAATGTTTACAAACAGAAAGTTGCGGACGTCCACAGAAAATAATTAAATAAATTAGTTGTTTTGCGCCGAAATTGCCTGTTAGGTAAGAAAATGTGTTTCGGTAGTGCCAGAGGGGCAGAATGTTGTTTTATTTTCAGGTTAGATTCTCTTCTCTGTGAGGAATAGCACTCCAATGTAACAGCTACATTAGTTAGCAAGCTAAAATGAAATAGTTGTGGAATCAGCCCCAACAGCTGGACCGAAGTCACGTGCTTTGAACGTTATTGTTTATTAAAGATAGACATCTGAAGTGCTGTGATGTACTGTGAAATCATTAGAAGGGTTTAGACTTGGGGTCCCTAAAGAATGTTTTAGTAGAAAATATGTTATTCAGTTCTAATGGATTTCATAATCAGGATTTCTCAGTTAACTAGCTAGTTAGCTAGGTTAGCAAACTAACCTACGTTACTCAAACCCAGAGTTAAGTCTGTCCGACAGAAGGAAAGGTAGTGGACATATCTGTTGGACAGTCAGCGTTTTCGGCTAGTCGTCTAGGTTACTGACAAATTTAAGGAATCCAGTTTTGTGAAATACGTAGTCCCCTTCTAAAGGGGAATTCCACCGATTTTTCAAAATCTTTGTATAACTAAATGGTTAAGATGTAAACAAAGTCATTCAAAGTGATTTGATTTGAAATGCTCTGTTCTAGAGAAACTTCCCGAGTCAGAATTGTTCACAGTGATGGTGATAGGAACCAGACGTCTGAAGCGTTTAAAGTCTCTAAAAAGCTCCCTCACAGAAAGTTATTACATTTTATGGTTACGAAGATGCTGTCTGATGTCTGAGAAATTGTTTTAACGGAAGGATTTGGCCTAAAACATATATGTTTAAAAGCCAGTCGTAGCGGAGGGCTACATGCAGGACATTGTGAGGCAAACTAGTCCCCCTTCCAGATTTACCACTGTGATACTATTATCAAGATTACATATATCATAACAAACGTGAGGGTTCACTGGAGTTTTGGAATAGTAAATAAAATAGCAATTTTTATGTTGTGTACATATTGATCCCTCGTTTCTATCACTGCCACTGTAAAACATTGGCCAGTTTCACTACAATGAATCATTTCACAGCAACTTACTGACTAAATTATGTAGATGTTTGAAAAAAATAAGTGGAATTTCCCTTTAAGTAAGAACTTTGTCAAACATCCCTTTGTTGAACTAGTTGTAAATCTAGGAAATCTAACTGTTTTCAACTGGTAACTGGCTCTGTGCTTGTGAAAATAAAGGGACAATATTTTATCATGTGTCTCACAGCTCACTAACGCCAACGGGTTTTACCCAAACAGTCCATTTGCTCAGGGGCCCTAAGCAAATGCTTGATAGAAAGAAACCTGCTAATGGAGCTAGCTATAATTTTCCCTTCAGGAAAGAGAACCAGATGGAAAGAAATCAAATTATAGTCTGGTTAAAACAATCACTAAAGGTTGAGAACTTATAAAACTTTGAGACTTTGCATGAATCTTTTAAGGACTTTTAGCCTGATTATGTCACAGCTTATGATGAATAACAGTTAAAGTAACTGAGTGAACTGCTTCTCTTTTCATATTCACAGGACAATTCAGATGTGTATGCTAATGATCTGTCTCTTTCAGTGTCTCAAGCATTTTGCCTGGTCTTTTTCTCTTTCTTTCTAGCCAGTAGAGGTACAGTAAGTGTGTGCATATGGAAAGTGGACAATGATTGTGTTGTGGAGCCTGTAAAAGGTCATCATTTAACATGGCAGATGAGGTGGGCAAACTGCCACTCCGACGTCTGGAGCCCCCCATCCAGAAATTCATCAAAGTCGTGATTCCCACTGATCTGGAGCGCCTCCATCAGCACCAGCACAACATAGAAAAGGTAATCATATCTCCCTCGCACTAATGCCCGGTATACGTGGCCATTGCTTCTAAAACAAGACAAAATGTTCAGTGGTCAAAAAAAAGAAGAGGCTCTCTTTCAAGAGCAGGCAAGAGTACTTGGGATATGTGGTAGGTCATGTCTGCAGTTTACGGCCTAAATAATCAAAATCACCTGATGCATTTTTGTACAAGTGATTGTTTATTGGTGTGTTCACTATGGGTTCTCTGTTCAGTTCCAGAGAAGTGGCAAGTGGGACAGACTGCACCAGGAGCATATCAACGCCAGCCGGACTGTTCAGGTATGATTGCATAAGCACATTGCTTTTTCAGCACAACTACATAACACACAACAGCTCAATCACACAGCCTGCTCAATGCACCAACACAGTTTGGAGCAGCCAGAAAAGTTGCGATGTAAACTAAAAGATCGGCATAAGATCTGAGAAAAGCATTATTTAATGGGTTGACATATGTATTATTATTCCGAATTCAGTTCTGATCTTATAAGCAACTCTGAATCTAAGCCATTTTTCTCTACAGAAAAAATGAATGGCATTTTTGAAAATTGCCACAGTCACACCTTGTGGCAAACAGAACTGTTGCAAAGCCAATCCACAATGCCTATTGTTCCCAAATTACCCTGCTGTTGTAGATGTGACATAAGTTGGACATTACTGACCCCACTCCCACACCACAGCATGCAGCAGTGAGAAACATTTTCAGAAGTTAACAAGTGGTTGATGTCTACAGTGTGGAACTATTTTAATGTGGAAAATGAAAACAGCCTAACAGCAACTAACATTTGCAGTTCAAGCGTTTCACCTTGTTTAAGCTAGCCACCTTTCATTAACACACAGTTAAACTAGTCACCTTAAAATGTAAGTTCATGATTATTACAGACTTAGCCTGGTAAGGGATGCAGCACCTAAAGAGTTTTTTGCATATGTTAAAATAACAAAATATGAAAATGGTATATCCAAGACTTCATAATCCATGTCAGTCCAGATTATGTGATACTGTGCTTACTGTTGAACAATGATCATTTTGATTGAGAGATACTTGCACTTTTAAGTTTCCTGTGTTGGACCTAAGTTGGGCGGGGCTACTTGTAGAGTCTGATGCCAGGTTGTCCTCTCACCAGTCAGAATTAGGTCACATTTTGCATCAACTACTTTTTGCTACAGCCGCTTCCTACACAAACCAAAGTCTTAATCTGAGTGAGAAAACAGTACGCAGATAGAGCTTTTCCATCTCTCCCTTTTTTGGAAAGTTTGGAAAGTTCTTCCTGCATAATTTGTTGGCTAGTCAATGATTTAATGTCTATCATAACCAACTAGCCACAGTACTATTATATAAATGCTAACAGTGTTTGCGTGATGTTTTGGGCAAATTAACACCATTAACACTTACCACCACAGTTACCGTAGTCCCTTTGGTTACGTGTAGATGTACCTCCTTATTTTGATGTCACTTTGATTCTCAGGTTGATTCTCATTCTCAATTTCTGCCAAAAAAACAAATGCTTAAAAAAATGAACCAATCGTCAACTACTACTAAATGTCAGCTCTGTCTCTACAGTATCTGTGTGTATCCATTTTAGTCCTTTAACAAATATTCTATTTGCAGTCCAATGTGGTTAGACATTGTATTCTTTGTCATGTTGCCATCACCTTATGATGCTTCACCAAAGATGCAGACACATATTTGGAATCATATGACCACTAGTATGGCCTTCTCAGGCTATGGATATCTTGAGAAAAAGGACAGCATTGTTCGGCCATTAGCAAGTAGTATGAACTCTATGGACTGAATTCCTATTGTGCAAGCTGGATATAGAGCAAAGTTGTGTGATGTGCAGAAAGCCTCCAGACGTACAAGGCAGGAAAACAAGGTGTCTAACTCTCTCTTTCTAACTCTGCTGTCACAAAAGAAAAAGAAAGACTTTCATCTTTTCTTGATCGCTGTGGAGGTATTGTTGGTAACTTCGGTCCCTGGTGTGTTGCTTGGTGTGTGTGTGTGAGTATGTGATGTTACTGTGATGCCTTTTCTCTTAGAAATGGTCCAGACAGGCATGTAACTCAGTGTTAATGTCTCTTAGAATCTGCTCGAGGTGCTCAGGGGACTGTGTTTTGGGCTATGACCTTGGCACCTGGTCTTTTTTCCCCGGAGACCCCAGAGAGCTTTCCGGTGTCCATCACTGTAGGGTGTGTGCGCATGAATGTGTGTGTGTGTCAGTGTGACATAGATGGCTGACAATACACTGAGCCAAGGAAGATACAGTTTAAGTGCCTCTCCAGAGAGAGAGGGAGGAAATGGAGTTCTCATCACATACACACATAAAAGAAAAGGGGAGAGGAAAAGAAAGGGAAGTGTTGGGTTTTTACCTTTTGACCCCTGGTCGTGATTTTTGCCTATAAGTCTTTTTCTTAAGTGAGATATATAGTGACATATTTTTGTGAACACTATGGGTCAGATGTACATACGAGTGTAGGCACAGCATAACATATACCTCAAAGCAACCACAATATGATATGAGCAAAACAGGCTGTAAAAAACATTCTTTATTGCTGGTAATACTTTGTGTAGCCTTCCTTTGCAAAGAGAACACATCCCATGCGATGTGAGACCATTACTTTGTAAAAACTCTGCTTTTTAGCTCATCACACAGATTTTGTATGGGGTTTAGGTCAGGGGACTGGGATGGCATGGCAGAACCTTGATTCTATGATCAGTAAACCATTTTGTGTTGATGTTGAGGCATGCTTTGGTTCATTTTCCTGCTGGAAGATCCAGCCACAGCCCTGTTTAAGTTTCCTGGCTGAGGCAGTCAGGTTTTTTAATATCTGGTGGTCTGAAGAAGGTGTCCAAGGCCTTTGAAAAAAGAAACAGCATCACAGATCCACCACCATACTTCACAATGGGGATGAGGTACTTTTCTGCATGGCTATCTTTGTGTCCATGCCAAATCCACCTTTGGTGTTTGTTGTCATATGCACTATTTTGGTGTTATCTGACCAGAGAACATGGTCTGGCAAACTGTACTTGAGTTTGTTGGTCCTTCGCAGCAGAGGCTTTCTTTCCATTAAACTTGTGCTTATGTACGTGGCATCTGATTGTGGTTGGGAGATGTTCTGACACCAAGACCTAATTAATATCTGCAGTTCCCCAGCTGTGCTCCTTGGAGATTCTATGGCCACTTGAACCATCCTCTTAACTGTGCTTGGGGTCTCTACAGATATACATCGTCTTCCTGGCAGATTCTTAACATCTCCAGTTGCTTTAAACTTCTTAATTGTTGCCCTGATATGAAATGGGCATTTTCAACTGTTCAGCTATTTTCTTGTTGCCATTTTCAGATTTTTCCTGAACAACCCTCTTTTACACATCATTGCTGTATTCTGTATAGTGATGGATGTCATAGCTGAGTATTTAAGTGTTCCAAATTGCTCAGGTGAACTTTAAAACATAAAATATGAATGGGGCTATACTTCAGTTAGATTTCACTCATATGAATTTCTAGGGGTGCATTTTACATCATGAATGCATATTTTGCGCTAAATTTTCTGAAATATTGTCACTCTGTTGATAAATATTCTTTTAGCATGATATTGGAAGTGCAATATCTTATCAGCTGCAGTATCTGCACCCATTTTTGGTACAACCCACCATGTTTTGCCTGTTTCTCCCTCAGTGCATGAGGTAGAGAATTGCATTTGGCATGTTACCATCCCCTTAAACTACATGCTAAGGCTCATGCACCAGTTTTGTACAAACCGTGGGCAGAACGCTTGCAATTTGCACTTGAAACTGCCACGAAAAGCTTAGTACATCAGACCCTGAATGTACATTACGTTATTGAAGATATACAAAAGACAGAACTTTTGTTGGTCATTATAATAGGGCTTTGTTTGTCTTAGATTATGCACCACATGCTTATTCAGAGGCTTCAATGAGCGCACTGGAGTGTAACTGTTTGATTGGCCTGCTGCTGACCTTTGACCCTTGGTCTGAGGCTGATGAATTGATCTGTAATCCCCACAATGTTGCTCACACAGCCAGTATATGTGTGTAAAGAAGAAATAGCATGGAAGCATTTCTATAGCTGATGAGTTGACATTTTATGACCCCATTGTGGTTGATGGTGCACTCTCAGGAAAAAAGGTATTAAACTGTCACTGGGGCGGTATTCCTCTTGTCACTGGGGTGGTACCCTCAAAGGTACAAATTCAATACCTTTAGTTAGGGAGCATAATTGAACCACATTTAATTGCAATTATTTTTTTTTAAGTTGTTTTGACTCCACGTACCTTGTCTTTTCTCTAGCCTTTTTATTTTATTGTTCTGTTTTGAAACTTTAGGTCATGAATTGGTACAAATATGTACCTATTTTCTGGGAAAATACTTAAAATCAATGTTATTCCTTTGAGGGTACATTTGTGTTGTTTGTGCCTTGACAAACGAAAAGTATATCTGCACAGTATCTTTATTCTGACAGTGTGATGACTCACTGTCTTCTACATCGTTTTTTTTTTTCCCTTCAGTGCAACAAAAGAAATATCTTCACTGTTTCAGATCTACCCCGCGACCCAAAAGGATAAGCATATTAGAAAAGACATTAGAAAATGTGTTTTCTAATACACATTAGAAAACGTGTGTGTGTCACTAGGACTGTAGTCAAGATCACCAAGACTATGACTCGTTGAGATCAAGTCAAGACCAAGTCTAAAGAGGACCAAGACCAAGTCAAGGACAGTGAGAGTGAGACTGAGTCGAGATTTAGACCCAGTTTTGTTTTTTTGTTTTTAGCTTAATTGTATGGTGGAGTAATTTTAAATTGAGCAAGACTTCTACAGAGTCACAACAGAAGTGGAGTTTCATTTTCATGCTATAATGAAAATAACTACTTTCATTTCATGCTATAATGTTTAGATGAAATGATACAGTTGTATAATGATATAGTTATATAATGAATTACATTCAGGTTCCATTTATATTCTATATTGACAAGTGTATTGACAGAGTTGACAGAGAAAAATGGGTCTGTTTTTACACAAAACACAATGGCATGTACAAAAACAGCTTTAATATGATTTTATTTAAATCCTAATAAAATGTCTTCTCTTCAACTTAAAAACACAATGTGGCTTTTTTCCTGATCCAGTTGGCTAAATTAAACTCAAACAGACACAATTTTTTTTCAATGTTTTTGAGTTCCTTAAGTACTTCAGTTTGCATTGGTGATAATTAAAAGAAAGAAAATAGTAAGTAATGTAAGCTTTATTCAGCCAGTAGAAAAAAAGTCAGATTTGAATACTGCAGCACTAGTAGTCACTGATTATGCCAGGGCTCGGCAACCCAAATGAGAAAAGCCATTTTGTCCTTTCACCAAAAATCAAACCACCTTGGGAGCCACAACATTTTATGTCCATTTTGCCATCTTGACTGTAAATATGTCTCAGTATGCACTAATGTACTAGTACAGGCTAAAAATATAATATAAACGAAAACACAGACTTACTTTGCTCTGCTTTGAGCTTTAGCACAGCTATAGCTGCTTTTCTCACATCTCTGGCAGGAAACTTTTCTGCAAAAGTAGAATAATTTCTACTTAGAATGTCTCTCAACGTTTGAGTTTTTAAGAGCCATTTGATTTGCCTGAGGTGTCAGAATGTAACTGCTGCACCATTTAAGGTGGAACAGGACAATTCAAACAAGAAGCTGGTGACTTCAGCTTCGCGACTTTTTAGTGTTTGACAGTTTCTCGTTGCAGATTAAATGTATCAGGAAACCAACTGAGTTGCAGTTTGTAATTATGTAATTTTCCATTCCTCTCTAAATTATTAATGTTCGTCTTAAATCTTTCTCCTTGCCTTTGTCACTAGCTACTAGCTAGGCGAGACTATTGTCCAGGTCACCAGCAGTCTGTGCACTAATCTTCAGGGTTAAAGGGTAAATTGGCAGTTATAAATTAACTCCAGCGTTAAGACCATTTATTGTTAAAACTGTGTTAGAATGATCAGCAGAGCTTTATTTTACTGCAAAGGAGGATTATGTTTACCTAGAAGTCTAATTCTACTCTGGAGCCACAACAGTGCAGTAGAAGAGCCACATGCGGGTCCGGTGCTACGTGTTGCCGACCCCTGGATTAGGGCGTTGCTTACATCTTTAACCACTGGTTGCATTTCATACATTTTTCACAAGTTCAAGCTAGCTAACTTTCAAACCAGGTTTCAGATCTCAAAGCATTTGAATTTCGCAAGTGGGAAATCTGAGAAGGATATTGCCTTTTTCATGTTCCTTCTCTCTCTCCGTCTCTCTCTGCAGCAATTGCGCTCTAACCTGAAGGAGATGGAGAAGTTATGTGGGCGTGTCCACAGCACAGACGCCCCAGCGCTGGAGAAGCTTGTCCAGCCAATCAGAGAGCGTGCCTCAGCTGCTGCTCAGAACTTCCTTCGCCTTCACTCCGACTCGATCAGTCATTTAGGGCCATGCCCACAGCAGCCAGTCACTACTGAAGTGCACAGTGCCTCCAATACTGCTTACAGTGAGTACACGTGTGTGCAGAAGGGAACTCTCAGAGCCTTCTAGTCCTGCAGAGAAAGTCTAAATGTCTTCTATGAAATAAAAATGACATTTCTGCAATGTTTAGTTCAGTTTTATTTAATGTGATCATCGTACTTTAAACTCTGCAAATAATGTAGTACAACTCACTTATTTCATTGTTACGTTTTGGTTGGAAAAACCAAAACTGGCATATTGCTTAGTCAGGACTCTTTTTTCCCCTCTGTGGTTTCTGGGTAGATACAACCAAGGTCTAGGCCATCTGGAAGACTGAGGTACATCACTGACTATGAATATGAGTACAAGTCTAATCAGGTTTCAGTCCGATGCTAGAAAACATGCTAGAGGCAGCTCTGTGCAGGGTTCCCTGCTGAAAGAGTCAATGTAGAACTGCTACAAGGTAACATATATAGTTGCTGTCCACAGAAAAACCCATATCTCCAGAAAGGTAACAGAAGAGTGTCTTTACTTTTAATATAAATACATTTTGGAGCAGTGGTCTATTTATCATGAAACTTTTACACAATGTAAGGGGCAGCTGCTGTGTTCAGATGTTGTAGAAAAATAAAAATTGCAAAAAATTATGAAACTTATTTTTTGGACAATGACAATATGTCAATGTGTGTAACAATCTCCAAATAAAATATGGAATGTCTTTTACAAGCTTCCGATGTCCGTCTTTAATCTGGAACGGCCCATAAATGTTAACGTGAATCGCCGGTAGCTTAGTGCTAACATACTATAAGAATCCTGTATAGGTGGTATCAGCATTATCGTGGAGTTTTCCTCGTTTCAACATTTATGGCCTGAACTGAAGGCCTAGCAGTAATACTCATAGTTTGTCACTGAGTGTGATGATGTATGTGTTGGGGGAAACCATTGTGTACACTGTATAGAGGGTGAATTTTTTTTTTTTACTTAAGGAATTTGTGAAATGTTTCAGGTGATCCAGATGTGGGTAGGGCTGAGTCGCCGGTTACGCAAGCTCAACTTTTTCTACCTGCAATCCCACCTGAACAAAATGCTGCAGAGTCTTGGGACTCTTTGGAGGGGGTACTACACACACCCACACATCCACACTTACAAAGCTATGTAGTGCTGCAGAAAAACAATATTATTGCTGCTGCTCTATGAAAAACTTTTTTTGTTTGTATTTTTGTTAAAAATCATGAGCTCTTTATATTGTGGTCCTTAAAATCCATTAACAGCCATTCAGTTAGATGACTAGTTCAATCTAAAATGTTATTGTTGTTAACAGTGAATAAAAATTGTATAGCCAACAATTAGCATCACCAGTGACATCATGCTACCTGGTGGCTACTACATTCCAGTTATCATTAGCCACATTAGCATGTTTGGTCAAGCTTTTCCGTTAACATCTGTATCTCACTATAATGTTAATGTGTGCGTTTGTGTGTGGTCCCTCTAGGATCTATTGGAGTTGAATGGTTTAGTGAATGAATTCTCCTGTCTTGTGCATGTGAGTATCACACCCTTTAAATTGTGTGTCAGGATTTTTAAATAGGTGTGTGTGTGTTTTATAGAGTGTGTGCAATGTGTGTGTTTGTGCGAGGTGTGTGTGAGGGAGAGAGAAGCAGTTGATAAAGTGCAGTGACAGAAATGCTAAGGGTTTGCGAGGGCTGTCAGACAGACAGCCTGTTGTCTTCTTAGAGCCAACAAGGAGGTATTGATCCCATCATTGCCTGTGTGTGTATGAATGTGTGTGTGTGTGTGTGTGTGTGTGTGTGTGTGTGTGTGTGTGTGTCTGTGTCTGTGTGATTGAGCAGAGACACAGACGTCAGTGACAGACTGTCAGCCTTGCGCTAACCAGCAAGGATTAATGAGAATCTAGAAGATCTACCCACCATTATTACACACACACACACACACACACACACACACACACACACACACACACAACAAAACCTGTTTATAATGCAGTGTCAGGACGTGGGTTAATAGGACGTGTCCCATAAATACAGTATGTACCGCTATACCTTAATTATGTTTATTTTATTAAAACAAACGATTGAACATTCCATTTTATCACTACCAAACCAGTTAGAACATTATTGAAACTTTACCAGATGTTTCAGTAGAGTTTTGGTAGTGATGATTTTAGCTGAATTTGATTGTAACTCCAAAATGTTAGGTAATACATGACTAGCAAACACAACTTTGAACAGTTGTACACACATAAAATCAAATTTTTAATTAAAACACAAGAAAACTTTACTTATTTGCAGAAAATATGTGTTTTGGTAGCGACAGTTCTTAAATTTACACACTGAGTTTAAGACTCATTTACTTTAAAACAATGGGATCTAACTGTTTACCATGTGGCCATGAGGCACAGGGATGCAGTCTCACTTCCTGCTCTAAAGTGCAGGGGTGTGGCTAAATTGAGGCTCCCCCTATGGACTAAAACTCTTTGCATTTTTTGGGCCAGCATTTTTAAGGTTGAAGGTTTTTGATGAGTCTAAATCTTTAAGCCTCACTTTAAAAGAAATCCAAAAGATCTTAAAAGAAATCGACCCCCCAACCCAAAAAAATTATTAGAAAAAAAAAATGTTATGGCACCTTTTATACACATTTGATATTGTATGTTTTACTTTTTTCCAATATGTTATGTACTAAATTTTGTTTGGTCCCTGTAGGGGAAGGGGTTAACTATATAATCAACAGAAAATAATATATATATATATATATAATATATATATATATATATATATATATATATATATATATATATATATACACACACATTATGGTAAGCCAATATTTCATGAACTTTGACATATAAAGAATGAACTTTGATATATATGGAATGAACCTTGATATATATGGAATGAACATTGATATATACACCAATCAGGCATAACATTATGACCACCTCCTTTTTTCTACGCTCATTGTCCATTTTATCAGCTCCACTTACTATATAGGTGCACTTTGTAGTTCTACAATTACAGACACTAGTCCATCTGTTTCTCTGCATACTTTGTTTGTGTTTGGTAACCATCAGAAGAAAGAGTACGGCTAGGAGTGACCTACCTCAATTGTCAGTTGCTTTTCAAGTGATATCGGCCTCATCTGACTATTCTTCTGCACCATGTCAAATTATGTATATATTGAAGATCCACCCATCTGTGGCTTCACATCCTATATCAGCCACTCTGAGATCTCTCTATCTAAGGGATCACTGTGTATACATACTGGTCACTTTATCAGAATCCCCTTCCTTTAAGCTTCACCTGGAGTTTGTTAATGCCCATTTGTGTTAGCCATCCTCAAGCCCTTCAACAGTGACTCTCATTCAATATATATCAATGTTCATTCCATATTTCCTGTTTGGCTTATAATGTGTGTGTGTGTGTAATATATATATATATATATATATATATATATATATATATATATATATATATATATATTATTAAGAATGCATGCAAACTTTATACCTAACCTTAATCTTGACTTCGTTAACCAAAAGGAAAAGGTTTTGCTCTTTCACTTTACAAAAGCTAGAAAAACTTCTAGCTTTTGTAAAATATTACAATTACAGATCATTTTGTTGGTTCTGACTTTTTAGGCAGTTCTCTGGATTTTGCTGTGAAAATGTATGGAAAAAAAGTCACACACACACATGTTTGTCTTGCATTATTTGTGAGGACTTGATTTCCTGTATTACAGTAGCCAAGTAATACTACATCTAAACCTGACCATTACCTTAACCCCATTATCCAAAAGACAGTTTTCTCTTTAAGTTTTTCCCAAAAAAGTGATTTGTAGTGACAACAACATGTGCTTAAGTGAGGCTCAGCAGAATGTCCTTACTTGTGCAAAACTGTCATATTGTCCTATCATTGTGAGGACATGTGGTCCTCACAGGAATAGCAAGACGAGCACACCATCCTTACTCACATCGTAGAGATTTCCGTTTGAATTGAAGCTTTATGTTGGTTATGTCTGATGTGGGCTTTAGGAGGGGAAAGCTAGTGTGTTTTCCACGTATTGAGGCAAACACTCATGGTGAACGGTTAAATCATGGGATTAAAAGTCTGTCAGCTTCTGTTTATTCTGTCATAACTGAGTGGAAACTCGCTTTGAGGCTGACGTACAACACTGCGGCCGCTGACGACAAGCTAACGGATGCATTCGGAGATAATTTGTTAACATGGACATTCAGTAACCTCTTTTTTAAGATACAGTATTTATTTGCTGAGGCAATATACCCTATGTGCACACAGTTTGGAATCAGTTCATTCAATAACATAAGAAAAGCATGAAATTATTCTAATGTGGTAATCCTGTGCCACTTCACACGGTCGTTACAGCTGGAAACTAGAATAAAACCTACATAATTATATATGTGTTCAAATTGAGAATTGATTGTAGATGATTATAAAATACCTGAGACATTTAAATAGCATGAGGAACAATGTCATAAATAAAGTTCCAATTTAATAATATCCAAAATGCCTTGTATTTCAAGGGGCGATCAATTCGCATGGCAGATAACTTGATGAAACATTATTGTCAACAGATAGTTACAGTAGATTATTTAACATGTTAAAGAGGAAATCCACCGATTGCATAAATTGTAGTAAATTGATGTAAACAGTCTTTTTGTGAATTAAATGAAGTTATTAAAGGGGTATAACAACATTTTGCATTTTTTTTTGCATTATTAAGTGGTTAAGATGTAACAAGATCAAAGAGTGGTGTGATGTGAAATGTTTCATTACAGATACCATTGTCTGAAAAATGTAATGCTTCTAAAAACTACATCACAGAAAGTTAATACATGAAATGGTAACAAATACACTGTCTGATGCATGAGACATTGATTTATGGTAGTTTTGAGAGAGTATTTTGGCCTAAAATATATATATATATTTGAATCCGTTCATGGAAGAGAGGTACCTGCATGGCATTATAAGGCAAAGTTATAAGGCGCAGTGTATAATTCTCAAACTGTAAGTTTCTCTACAATGATGCAGTGATGCACATCAAACCACACCAAATGACTTTGTTTACATCTTAACTATTAATTTATGCAAAAAGTTAGAAAAAAATGATGGAATTCTTTCTAACCTACTTCTTGTCATTCTCAAAATACTTAAAAAAATTTACTAAAACATCTAAAAATACCTTTTGGTGTCAGGATTAAATTATTTAAATCTATATTGTATATTAAATAACAACTAGAAGCAATACCAGTTTTTTTTAAAACAAAAATTTTGACCCTAGAGGTTCTCCTGAGTGTTACTCAATCCAGACACTGCTGATCAACACACAGTCCTGAGAGAGAGAGAGAGAGAGAGAGAGAGAGAGAGAGAGAGAGAGAGAGAGAGAGAGAGAGAGAGAGAGAGAGAGGAGAGGGGACAAATTAGTTTTTGCTGCAGTACAGATTTTGTATTAGCTTGATTTAGTTGTGGTTACAGTATGGACAAAGTCATGTTATCGTTATTATTATGCCACAAGACACTTTTCTGAATATTCCATGAGCATCGTCAGTACTTCTAACATACGTAACAAATGCATCTATCATAAAAAAGACTTAGACCAAGACTTAGACTAGACTAGAAAGGCTGTAAACAACAACAACAACTAATGCAATTTAATATAATTGCTTAAACTGCAAGTATGTGATTGGATGTCAACCCATTAAGCCGTTATCTTTTATTTTCTTGTTCTTAATATTTGTTTTTAACCAATTGATTGATGTTTTTTCTTTCCTTCTTAAAGAGCTATTAGAATTGTATTTACTGTTGTTAAATGTAGCACTGCTGTTGCTGGGGCAATTTATCCATTCCAGCTTTACTTTCCATTCTCCAACCTCAGACAACACACTGTAATACGTATTGTGTGTCAGAGTTGTCTTTGAGTGATGTTGTATTTGTGCAATTTCGCCCACCCTTTGTTACGTCTTTAACACCTGCATGTATGAGTGTGATGTAGGTGTGTTTGGGTGGTACAAAACAGTTCAGTGATGTGTGTATTTAGGTGTTAGGACTGATGTTGGCATTTTTATGACAGAAAAGGTGGGTGTATGCGTGTATACACTGGTGTGTAAATTTGTAATGCATCTGTGGGTTCCTTTTCCAAGTTCTATCAGTCACTGTAAAATATTTTACCCATGGGGCTGTGCAGCAGAGAGAGATATTTACCAGCACAATGTTTATGCTTGCAGTTACACAGACACACACTGGTATTGGTCTCACAGTACTTGTGAGGACTTCTATTGATTTCTGTATCTGTCAAATAATACTACATCTAAACCTAACCCTAACCTTAAGCTCCGTAACTAAACGTAACACTAACCTTAAGCTCAGTAACTAAACCTAATCCTAACTTTAAAATCAGTAACTAAATCTAAACCTAACCCTAACCTTAACTTCAGTCACCAACCCTAACCTTAAGCTTAGTAAATAACCCTAAACCCAACCCTAACCTTAAGCTCAGTGACTAAACTTAAACATAACCCTACCCTAACTTCAGTTACCAAATCTAACTCTAACCCTAACCTTAACTTCAGATACCAATCCTAACTGTAACTTCAGTTACGAAACCTAAACCTAACCCTAACCTTAACCTCAACAATTAAACCTAAACCTAACCTTAACCTCACTAACTAAACCTTAACCTAACCTTAACCTCAGTAACTAAACCTAACCTTAACCTTAATAACTACACATAAACTTAACCATAACCTTAACTTCAGTTACCAAACCTAAACCTAACCCTAACTTTAGTTACCTACACCTAAACCTAACCCTAACATTAACATCAGTAACTAAACCTAAACCTAAAGTTAATGTCAGTCACTAAACTTAAACCTAACCCTAGCTATAACTTCAGTTACCAAACTTAAACCTAACCGTAAACTTAGATGCCTACACCTAAACCTAACCCTAACCTTAACATAAGTGACCAAACCTAAACCTAACCCTAACCTTAATCTTAGTATCCTAAAGGCACTCTCATTACTGTTTTAATTTTTGCAAAAATGTTGCATTTATGGTGAAACCAGCACATTTTCTAGTGATATTTTACCCAGGCAGAACATTATGTATAGAGCCATACTTTATGTAGAAACACAAGATCTGATAACTTGTGCCAATTATCCGTTTAACTAGCACAAACCTTTTGGGAATTACCAAAAAAGAAATCTGAAAGTAATGTTAGTATTTCTTTTTTTATTCAGACGTATTGTGATGCAAAACGGCAGTATGCCTCGTATTGGGAAATTTGCGTATCGTTCCACCTCTGCTCACCGCAAACACACCGCTTTACCAAACACACATCAATAATCTCTGAAATTCATATGAATATACACACACACACACACACACACACACACACACACACACACAATGAATAAGGGTGAGCACCAGGAATACCAGGATAGAGAGTTGATGCAGATTTCTCCAGCTGGCTCTGTGTGTGTGTGTTTGATTTCTGTGTGCAGTGCTTACTTTGAGCTCACACTGATTTAGACAGAGAGACAGCTGCCACTCTTTGAATATTTCATAAGCTTCCGACCGACCACCCAGTTGCCCCCGACGACAAGCCCCCAGCCCCCTGCCCCCTCAAACAAGAAGCTCTGCCCCCTCCTATCTCTCCTTCTGCCCCAGTACACAGCCTTACCCTACTCAAACCGCACCACCCATAAACGAGCAGCCTAATCCCACACTCAAATAAAAGTTTTGTTACTTAAAGGGGAATTCCACTGATTTTTCAAAATTTTGGCATAACTAAATCGATAAGCTGTAAACAGAGTCATTCAGAGTGGTCTGATGTGAAATGCTTCATTCTACAGAAACCCATACAGTCATAATTGTTCACAGTGGTGTTGATAGAAACCAGAAGTCTAAAGTGTTCAAGGCCTCTAAAAGCTCCCTAACAGAAAGTTATTACGTGAAATGGTTATGAATATGTTGCCTGGTGCCCAAAACATATTTTTAAAATCCATTCTTGGCGCAGAGGTACATGTAGGGTGTTATAAGGCAAAAGGGAAAAAAATCTTTTTTCAGTATCACTATTTTAACATTAACAACATTACCTATAAAACCTCAGAGACATGTGCAGGTTCACTGGTCATTTTAGATGTGGGTTTGCCCACTCAGTGTGCATATGCTGTTTCTCAGCCATTTCTAGGCCCAGATCAAAAGGCAGTTTTTAATAGGAAGTCCATATTAGTAAGTAGCTACTTTACCCACTCCATGGCCTTTTGAACACCCCATGCCTCTTGAAAATTTTTAACAGTTTGACCACTGGTCAAAATTCATATAAAAATGATATTTATAGCTTTTGTTAGCGGTGGCACTAACTGCAAGCTCTATCTCTTATCCTGTAAGTGTGTGCCTGTGGGTGACGTGTTACATGCCAGTGTGTAGCCAAAGTCCATAACTTTCTCTTCTCTTGTCTTAGGCTCAGCAGGAGAAGATTGACAGCATCGAGGCGAACGTTAGCGTAGCGGCAGCTAACGTGGAGGAGGGGACACAGAGCCTGGGGAAGGTAAGAGGGAGCGAGGGGAGTCCTGCTGGGGAATCGATTCCACTCTAGCCCCCTGCTTCAGCCAGGGCCTAGCCGCACCATCGGCCCATTGATCCACATCAGCGCGCAAGGAAACGGCAATTAAGAGCATAAGGAGAGCTAGTGAGGGAGAGGGAGAGAGGGAAAGAGACAGACAGACACAGAGAGAGAGAATGAGAGGGAAGGAGAGAGAGAGACAGTTAGCAGGGGTGGTAAAAGGCATGCAGCGGAGGGAATCGATGTGTGTTGTGTTGGCCCCTTGCAGAGAGTCGATGAGTGTGCGACTGTGTGAGTGAACAGAGGGCTTAAGGGTGTAAAAGAGAGTCTATAGCTGGCTTTTGAGCTCCAGCTGGGGGTTCAATATACACACACTCAAACACTCAGACACACTCACACACACACTGTGGAGTTCTGAGTAAAGGAAGGGTAAAGCGCAGAGGCAGGGTATATGGTTTGTGTGTGTGTTGTATTGATCTAGTTAGATTTGAAATGTTTCTGGGTGTACTTGATGCAGTTCCATTGAGCACTCTGTTTCTGTGTAGAAAGTGGCCTTACCAATGTCTTTACTGAAAAGAACAGAGGGAAGTCATCACACACACACACACACACACGCACACACGCACAAACTTGTTTTTATACTATGTCGGGGTCATACATATGTCCCATACATATCGCTACATGCATTTTCAAATTTTGTCAAAAAGTGAAAAATGGACAAAATGGACAAAAATATGAGGTTTTCTTCCGACAGCAGCGATATATACGCTACATATGGACTTTTTTTATTACTATATAGACAGTATTGTGCAAAAGTCTTAAGCACCTGACAAAAAGTCATTTATCAAAGCAGTATGCATTTCTTGCTCAGAAAAAAAAGAATAAAAACAAACAACCTTAATACAAAAAATATTGATTTTATGTCAATTGTATATCAATGCTTTCATTTAACCATTTCCAAACCTCTCCATGGTGAAGCCCAGTATTATATTTATCATCCAGTACTAGTTTAGCTGATCAGTGTTTCATTTTGTTAAATCAGGTGTGCTGATGGAACCAAACCTGTGCTCTTAAAACTAGCTCACAACATCTCAACATTTTTTACTTTTTACTGCATCAATGTTTGTATTTATCCTAATGTTATAGTATGTTGTAGCAAGCCACAAAACTTAGCATTTAGATAAATGGTTTACAAAAATTTGTTTGTGTTATATTGATGGGACATGTCGTTAAAAAAAAAAAAAAATATGTATGAGAAAAAAAAACATACATGAGACATTATCATTAGATAAAGGTACTTGCGTGTATATACATACATACATGTCACTGTTGTCGGAACATAACCTCGTATCTCCAAAATGATAACTTTACTGGTTCCATTGACTTACATTAAAAGTAAAGTATGTTTTTTCATATTCTTGTAAAGTTATCATTTTGGAGATACAAGGTTTGTTCTGAGAGTTGTGACATGTATGTATGTATGTATGTATATATCACTGTTGTCGGAAGAAAACCTTGTATCTCCAAAATGGTAACTTTACAGGAAAAGGAAAAAACATACTTTACTTATAATGTAAGTCAATGGAACCATGGTCCATTCATTATGAAATTTACACATAATGTAAAGGGCAACAGGTATTTTCAATGTCAAAAACTGAAAAACGTCAAAAATGGAGATGCGAGGTTTTCTTCTGACAACAGTGATATGCAAGTACCTTTATGTAATGATAATGTCCCATATATATGTAAGAACCTATGTGTAAAATGTGTGTGTATATATATATATATATATAAAATGACATGTCCCATCAATATAAAAAAAACAGATTTTTATAAACCCTTTATCTAGGCGGTAAGAGTGTTGTGGCTTGTTAAAACATACTATAACATTTGAATAAATACAAACAGACATTAATGCAGTAAAAAGTAAAAGTGTTGAGATGTTGTGAGCTAGTTTTAAGAGCACAGGGTTGGTTCCAGGTGTCTCCTTGATGCCCCCAGGTGCATAGATTTGTCTCATCAGCACACTGAAACACTGATCAGCTAAACTAGGTACTGGATGATAACTATAATACTGGGCTTCATCAAGGAGATTTTTGGAAATGGTTAAATGAAAGCATTGATATACAATTTACATAAAATCAGTAATTTTTGATTTAAGGTTGTTTGTTTTTATTCTTTTTTTTCTGAGCAAGAAATGCATACTGCCTCAATAAATTACTTTTTGTCAGTTGTTTAAGACTTTTGCACAGTACTGTACATATAGTAATAATAAGGTCCATATGAAGTGTATATATCGCTGCTGTCGTAAGAAAACCTTGTATCTCCATTTTTGTCATTTTTCACTTTTTGACATAATTTGAAATGCATGTTGCTCTTTACATTTTGTATAAATTTCAGGAAGAATGGACCACAAGAAATTAAATTACTTGGAAAAAAGAAGTCATCATTTTGGAGATACAAGGTTTTCTTCCAACAACAACGATATGTAATATGTTATAATAAGACAATATTTGCAAGCCTAATCCTAAACCTAATGCTAACTGTAACCTCGATAAGCCAAAAGAAATCATTTTACCCTTTCAGGTAGCTTTTATAAAAAAAACACATTTTACAAGGTCCTTACAAAATTGTCCTTGTAAATCTACCCTGACATTGTAGGGTAACCCTGTTTGCTGTTAATTTTTGTCATGAAATTATAGAAAAAACAAACACGCCCAGACTCTGCCTACTTCTTAGGATGCTGGCTCAGGACTATCAGGGCTACATCTCAATTCTTCATGCCATACCTATTCTTTCTTTCTCTCTCTCTCTCTCTCTCTCTCTCTCTCTCTCTCTCTCTCTCTCTCTCTCTCTCTGCTGGTGGCGTGGATAATTAAGCGCTTCTGAAGATGGTGAGATGAGAGAAAGAGAGAAAGATGAGAGGAGCAGAAAGGTGCCGTTTGATGGGCGGCCCTGCCTTTAAAGTTAACTATCTTAATAAAATCTGTGTTGTGTTGTGTTGTTTGTCCTTCCTCTAATTAAAGGGTGTTTTGGCTAAAGTAGCCTCACGTTTCACCCAGTATGCCCCAGTTTGATCTGCAGGCATCAATTTGGGAGCTGTTTTATTGTAATTGAAATAGTGTGTGTGCATTGTGTTATCAGAAAAAAACAGCATATGAACTGTCTGACAATCACATACAGTTTCTGGTTGACTTGTATTGATGCCCCCCACCCTAGCTCACACATACACACCTTTACATAACAGCTTACTTTCAGTTATTTTCTGGTGAACATGAATCACTCGTTTATTTATAGTACTGTGAAAAAGTCAGAGACCACCCTTCATGTATTAATTTCTAGTCAAAACAGCCATTAAGTGCAAGTAATTCAAGACACAAGATAATTCATTTGCATAATGAAGGGGACAGTCAAAAGAAAAATAAAGTGAAAAGAAAATAAGTGAGAAAAGAGAAAATGGGAGTTTTCAGGCTTTTTGCACATCACTGGTAAAAAGTTTGGAATCAATGTTTCAGTAATACAACACCAGTTTTGTATGATGCTCATTGCCTGTAAAACACTAAGTAACATTAGATTAAACACAACTAAACATTAAAGCAGTAAATTATGTATAAATAAATGAAGAAATAATAAATAGTAAATAAAAATGTTAGTGTTTTGTTTTTCAAACAGATAAACTTCCCCTTATCATTTTCTCAGATTTCTTTTGCAAAGTACTGTAACTTGACAAGAACTATTATTAATAGGTAATCACAGCATATCATTTAACAACCACAGTATATCATTTAAAATAATGATTCCACACTTTTGAACGGTAGTGTACTGTGATGTGTGCAGCCTGTAGTGTAGCATGTCTCATAATAACATTTCTTGTGTCCCTCTCTGCATCTCTGTAGGCGGCACGCTCAAGCCTGGCAGTGTTACCTGTAGCGGGGGCAGTGGTGGGGACTGTTTTGGCTGGTCCGTTGGGGCTTCTGGCTGGGTTTAAAGTGGCTGGGGTGGCGGCCGCTGTCGGGGGTGGTCTGCTGGGCTTTGCTGGGGGCAACCTCATCCAGCGCAAGAAGAAAGAAAGAGTGGAGCTCCACCTTCAACAGCTCAACAACACTAAAGATGGACATGAACATGTGCAATAACACACAAACACACCTGGAGTGTGTGGAGTCGCATACATACACAAACTAACTGCAGCACATTTTAACCCCTTAAACTGCACACTTCAGTTCTTCTCTTTCATAACAACATGATCCTGCATAATCATTTCATAATAGTTAGCAAATAATTGTAGTAGTCACTGAATAATAAGTCTTAAGGTTTACTTTTTTGGTGTATTTTATTTTCTTCTCCAAGTGCCACTTATGCCATTTTTGTGGTTTTATGTACCAAAAAAAACATTTTTGCATGACCATTTTCCAACTTCTCTATATCCCTTACAACTAAGCAGGCTGCTTTTTTCACGGTGCCTTTAAGGCTGATATATGAAAATGTCCTCTGCTCTGATCGGCTGCCCTGTTGTTCTTCATTCAAGAAGCAATTCAGACTGAAACACTTCTAGCTTTAGTGCAAATGGTTGGAGCTCAAGTGCTGTAGGTTGAATAGGCGGATATATGCAAATGTATTGGTTTTTCTGACATCACGAAAATTATTAATTCAAATTGGGACATTTTTGCAGCTTAATTTCCATATGTTGACCATATGAACTGGAGAATGATCAGTACTTTTTGAAACTGTAACAGTGTTTACATACTATCATACTGAACATCATTGTTTTTCCCATGATATTGGCACTTTAAGGCTAAGGTTAATTTAACTGTATGATAATCAGTGTAGTTTAAGGGGTTAAACTGCAAAACAACCTCTACACACATTTACACTGCAGAAAGTGGACTTGCTTTTGATTTTTACTGCTTATCTCTATTATACCGCCTTAAATAGTCGACCGTTTTTGCGCCAAAGCAAAAACCACCGCTCGTTTCTCTTTCTGCATCCTAACGGGTGTGTTTTAGTACCTCTGTATTGATGTGACTGTTGGTCAAAGCATTTGTGCGTTTACTGTGGCCATGGGCCACGTGATTTATCGGAGCACATTTTAAACGACAGTAAACAAAGTCCACGTCTCTTTTATTGATCCAGCGAGCTGTGGCAGTTTGCACAGATGCCAGGCTTTCACTGGGGTGTCTTGTGGGTCTTAGTGGGGTTATAAGTGATATGTATAAGACTGATCGTAAGACTGGGAGTGTACACTGTAATATGTGTGCCTGTGCGCTTATACGTAGGCAACACCGTAGTTTAAGTTAAAGAAATTATAATAATATTCTGTTTTTTTTGTCAGGTATTGTTGAGGAGGCAGAATGGTCTCCAGTCTCCTTTCTGATAGGACAGATTTTCTTCTAAGCACAAAGCTACAATAAAGGTGGTTTTTGGGGGAGGCTATTATTGGTTTCATTCTTGATCGAATAAATATGCAGCAAGTGAATCATCTTTAATTGGTCGGCTCCAATTGCATTTTAGAATGGCCATTCAGATAGGAACTGAGTTTGCTCTTGTATTATTCCACACTAACTCACCTACAGCCTAAAAAGTCATGTTTTGGATGAAGCAAATTGAACATGTAAAAAAAAAAAAAACGCATGCTATTTTAAAGAACTGCTCCAAGTAGGTTTTTTCTGTTATGAATTGTTAAAGTTTCCCCTATCAGGCTCTAAACTGCTTTCTAAATATTGAGTTAAACTGCTTAGATTTTCTAACTGACTGAAAATAAGCTTTTTGTGTTGGAAATAAGCTGAAATTCTAGCTGAGTATAAATTCAATACTAAGAATAATATTTTATTTCATTTCATGTTAATAAATTGCCACAAAAGGTTTCTTTACTGGAAGGGTATCAGAGCAGTATTATTCTTAGGGGCAGATTTACTAGAAGAGGTGCTGATAACAGTCTGTCAACTTTTTGCACTGGTGGGGGAGGCCAGTTTATACATGCAATTTTGTAATTAACTTGTGACCAATGCATTTTGTATGAAAACCCATTTCTGGTTATGTTTCAGTTTCAAATTGTGACTCAGTAAGTGAAAATAATGACTTTTCTCAAGATTTTGACATAGTAAGTCAAAAATAGTCATTACTTATGGAGAAAGTATGCAATTATTTTTGAGAAAATAAGACATTACTTCAATGTGACGAATCAGAAATTTAAAAAAAAAAGTAATTTTAACATCCTGTTTTGAAACTTATGTGTAGGTGAAGTGATTAGCTGAATTTAAGTTTTGTGTCGAGTGCATTTGGAAAATAACTGATATTGTAAAATCCACTGAGCACACCCTGGTTGTTTGGGGACTGTGTGATTTTAAACTTGTGTTGAGCATAACATCTCAGCAATTTTCAGTGCATCTAAGGCTGTGACATTTTTGCTGTAGAAGCCAGGGTGCACACAATATAGCGGGTAGCTTTAGTAATGCAGGGGTTGCACAGCCAAAAGAATTTAAATACATGCTTTTAGGAGTTGTTTAGAAAACTCAAATCAAATCAAACTATTATTTAAGCAAAACCTGTCTTATGACACTTTGATAGCATTGTGAAATTTATCTGAAGTGTTAGGAAATAGTAGTTTAAAACATTGTTTTCTTTTTAGACTTTTTATTTCCTTATCAAATTGAGAATAATGTGACATAGCAGGCTTTCATAAACGTTTTTGTTTTTCCATCAAAAGTGAAGAAAAGAGTTTGAAACACTCTCTCCAAGCATCAAAAATGAGACAAGCTTTTACATTTACAGCATTTAGCAGATGCTCTTTTCTCAGGCATTAAACAACACTTAGTCAGTATTTACTATCAGTCTTAGTTACTCCTCTCAGTATTTCGCGTTTTGAAAGGGAAACTCCTATAAATATGAAATGAAGCAAAAGCACAAAAGATCAGCGAACGCTCTTTTGATCTATATATGATTGCTGAAGGGCTGTTAAGCAAATCACAAACACCAAAAAAATAGGGTGTAAGGTGGTGCAAAACGTTAGCAAATAGCTAGTTTAAAAAATTTTGGAAGCAGTTAAACTCAAGATTTAAGGTTTGGTTTAGTATCTGATGGGGAAACGTGAAAAAGTAATAACTAAAAAACTTTGGAGCACAGTTTTGAAATTTTGCATGCTTGCAAGAATAAAATTTTAGTTTAAAGAGTTCAGCAAATAGTCATATGCAGAAGCTTGAACAAATTTTAGTGCACAATTTCTATATTATTTGCTAAGGTTAAGATATTGATAAGAAATAAAACATTAAATATAAAACGTGCCATAATATTTGCATTGGCCACGTTTTATGCTTTATTTTTTTCTAGTTTTAAATTAAACAAATAAATAGTAACGGTGGTTGAAACTGTGTACTTAATTTCACCTAGAAAATCAATGAAACGTAATTTGACCCCAACTTTTGCATATGACCATATTGGTACATGTTCAGATGTATACCATAATATCTGATTATACTGTTGAGTATGTGATCTCTGCAGACCCACAAATTATTGTACCATTACAATATTCAACAGTTCATGTGTCATTGCTGCTGTCCAGCCTACTATATTTCACATACTTCTGTGGTGTTTAGAAGATGGCTGGAATACGTCCTTTAAAACAGCTTTATGTAGATATTTTTATTTAAACTTAATGATCCTTATGAGATCTTTATTAATTCATTTGAAGATATTAATGCAGTGACCATGATGTGACCATAGTTCTTTTTCTTGTTTATATATCGACTTTCCATTTACTTTTCAAAGGAGCCATTGCCTTATGCAAAATTGCCAAAGTTTTTTTCTATTCCTCAATCATTTATCTTGTACTACCAACAACATCACTGAACTGTGGATCTAAAAGCTTGTTTAAGTTTACATGTAGCTTCCTTAAGGCTTTGACAGCAGAGGCCACCGAGAAGGCAAATCTAATACAGAAATCAATTCACTGTGGGGCCTCCTTGTGCACAAACAAGATTTAAATGTTATTTGATCAGAGTCCTGTAGGACTGCTGGAAAAGCTGAACAGTAACCTATTGTGCTTTATTGATTCTCATTTTTAGCCTTAACTACTGAGAATATAATATGTTATTCCCTATTGCACAACACTGGCTGGTTTGAGTGCTTATTTTTTCTTTGCTAAGCTGAGCTGCTGGCTGTAGAACACATAAGGATGCAATGATAACTGCAAATGGATTCTCAAGTAGTCAATATGGTGGATAATCCTGCACTGTCTGTCAAAGGTTTGGGGATACTTAGCTTTTCAAAAGCTTCTGTTAAGAAACTAAGTACAGAGCTCTTTGTCACTGTACTTAAGTATAATTCTGGAAGATTTGTACATAAGTATTATTTGAATTGAATACTTTTACTCAATTATATTTCCAAGAGACTGCTTACATTTTCATTTTGACCTTGAAAGTACTCATTACAAATCTCAAAGGAGAAAGTGTCCACAACTATGCTAATTTCTCTTTGTATGAGGACTAGAACTGCCAATTAGTCGCCACACTGCTGCGTCACACAACAAAGAAAACTTTTAATTTTTATTGAAAACATTTGGGAATGGGATTTGGTAGGCACAGAGTTAAGGCGGAGATGTTTGTTTTTTTCTGTGTTACAACAAAAATATCCATATGAATAGATACAGTCAGGTCCATAAATATTTGGATGTCAACAAAGTTGTTATTTACATTGCTTTCTGACACAGCAAATTGTGGAAAGTGCAGAATTTCAGCTTTAATTTTAGGGTATGCACATTAAAATCAGGTGCGCAGTGTAGGAATTACTACCATTTTCATACATAACCCCCCATTTGTAGGGGCTCAAAAGTAATTAGACAATTGCTCAGCTGTTCCATTGCAAGGTGTGTCATTCCCTTATTTCACTTTCAAGTAAGCAGATAAGAGTTGATGTCAAGTGTGGTATTTGCATTTGGAATCTGTTGCTGTTAACTCCCAATATGAAGTCCAAAGAGCTCTCACTGCCAGTAAATCAAGCCATCATTACATCAAAACATCAAAACTAACCCATCAGAGAGATAGTAAAAACACCAGGTGTGGCCAAATCAACTATTTGGTCCATTCTTAAAAAGAAAGAACACGCTGGTGAGCTCAGAAACAACCAAAAGGCCCAGAAGACCATGGAAAACAACTGTGGTGGACAATAGTTGGCCAGATCAAGATCACCCTCCAGGAGGTAGGCTTATCTGTGTCGAAGTCAGCAATCAAGAGAAGACTTTACCAGCGTAAACACAGAGGGTTTACCACAAGATGTAAACCATTGATAAACCTCAAAAACAGGAAGATCAGATTAGAATTTGGAACAACATCTTATGAACAGATGAGACCAAGATCAACGAGATGAGGAAATGAAGAAGGAAAGAAACTGTTCATGATCCAATGCATAGCACCTCATCATCTATGGCTGCCAGTGGAACTGGTTCCCTTGTATTTATTGATGAGGTGACTACTGACAAAAGCAGCAGGATGAATTCTCATTGAACAGCACTTGGATGGACAGTGACCCAAAGCATACTGCGAAAGCAACCCAAGGCTTTTTTAGGGCAAAGAAGTGGAATGTTCTGCGATGGCCAATTCAATCAGCTGACCTTAATTTCACTTACTGAAGGCTAAACTGGAGGTCAATGAACAAGCAGGAACTGAAGATAGTAGCAGAGCATTACCAGGGAATTATCAAAAATGACAATTTATGTTTACTTTTGAGCACCTACAAATAGGAGGCTGTGTGTGAAAATGGTTGTAATTCCTTTAGTATAAATTTGGATATAAATACCCTCAAATTAAAGCTGAACGTCTGCTCTCATTTAGCTCGTATTCATTGTTTATTGTTTAACTCCAATATGCTGTCTCAGACAGATAAAATGATAGTAAAATAACAGAGTTTCTCAATATGGCTTTTAACCCAAGCTTGTATTAAATATGATTTGATTTTTATTTACTGATCATCCTAACATATGGTATGCCTGAGATATAAAACCCCTTCTTTTTTACTTGTTACATTCAGAGAAGTCCTAATGATTTCTGGGAACTAAAAATGCATGTCTGTAATTTTCAGTTCATTTTCATTCAAATGAATCATGCTTGTTTTTAAACTCTGTAAGAATTACAGTACTACTCTTCTTTAATTGTTAAGCATAAAATGAAAACAAAAAGGTTAAATTCTTGAAATGCTGAGCATTGATGATATGTTGGTAAATATAGCTAAGCAAGCTTTCTTATTGGTTAGGACTTCAGGAGCTAAAGAGAAGTCCTAATGTGTTTGAATAACCAATCACAAAGTGAGAGATAAATCAACCTATCATGTATCGATTTCCAGTTGTCTGAACCAATTTTATGAGGGAAAAAAAATGTCATTTTAGGCTTTCTGGAAGTCTTAGAAACGTCACTGACTGAATATGAATAGTAGTTTAATCAGAGGTTTGTTAGAAATGGAAAACAGCGGCGGCAGCTCTATACCAGACCTCTATACTTAAAAAATCACTTTGGAAACATATCGCTGTTGTTGAAAGAAAACCTACTTTACTTTTAATGTAAGTCAGTGGAACCACACCTTTTTTCCCCCGCAGGTCATTTTGGGCCATTTCTTTTGGTCCATTCTTCATGAAATTTATACACAATGTAGAGGGCAACAGGTATTTTCAAATTATGTCAAAAACTAAAAAAGGACAAAAATTGAGATACGAGGTTTTCCTCCAACAGCAGCGATATGCTAATGTGTCTGTTACATCTTTGAGTAAAACATAGAATGTGTTTTAGAAGCCTCAGATGTCTGTGTTTAATCTTTTTCCAACCCATTTTAAACAGTGCAGTAGTTGCATTCTGGTGCCAATGAATTTTCCATTCCACCTGGTCCCTAAATGTGCCTGATGTAACTGCTTCACCATGTAAGGTGGAATGGAAAATCGAATATGAAGCTATCTTCAGCCTTGTCAGAAATTGTTAATGCGAATCGCCGCTAGCTTAGCACTAACAAACTAGTAGAATCCTATTCGGTCGTTAGCGGAAGTTAGCATCATTGTTAAGGTGGGCTTTGGGCGAGTTTTAACATATATTGCCTGAAAAGAAGGCCTAGCTTTAATAGTTATGGTTCACCACTGATATTTTTTAAAGAGGAATAAAATGTGTTTTCCATTATACATCAGCTGTTATTTGCAAAAACGTATCAAAAATTGTTACAAATGAATATTTCTAACATTCAAATTTTGAAGTGAAACTCGTACATTAATAATACTCATATCAGTTTAGTTTCACTGTATTTCTTTCTTCCGTGGTTCATTATTGATCAAGTTTTCTTTGTTACTTTGCAGTAACATTAATAAGCTGTTCAAATTTCACAATTTTTCTGTGAAAACCACAAAACTGAACAGGCAGCTAACAGTGAAATTTCTATCTTGGGAATATTAACACACACCACATTTTTTTGCCCTAACTCACACCTTTTAGCTGTTTAAAGCTTTTAATAAGTGCTTCAACCAAAATACTTTTTTTCATACCAAGAAAGACACTTTGATGAACATAAAGCTTTATGTTTTACAAAAAATACCCAAAATATTAGCAAATGTTTTACTTACTTACCAACAGTAACTATAACAGAAGAAAATTAAATTCAGCTTCTTCTATTACTGTTTAACTTCATCACGTGTAAAGCACTTTTAGCTGCCACTGGCATATACAATCACAGAAAAAAAGGCATGAAACTGGGGTGGTACCCTCAAGGGTACATCTGAGTACCTTTGGTCAGGGAGCATAGTCGTACCATAATCCATTGAAATTTGAGTCGAGTTGTTTTGACTCCACAGGGCCTGTCTTGTCTCTAGACTTTATTTTATTGTTCTGTTTTAAAGCATTAGGTTATGAAAAGGTACAAATATGTACTTTTTGACTGGGAAAAACTTATTTAAGGTACACAGTTGGGCCTTAAAACCACTGTTGTACCTTTGAGGGTACATTTACATTGTACATTAATGAACTAAAAACGTACCTGCACAGCACCTTTATTTCTAACAGTGTAGTGCTGTACAAATAAATTATTACTGATTTTACTTACTACTTTATTTACTTAATCAAAAAGTAACCATGAAAATTGAACACTACTCCAAAAATGTCAAAAGAAAGCAGGGTCACCTATCTCTTGACAGGTAGGCCATTATTTCAACACTTGGATGTTTTCTTTTGAAAGCGAGAGATATTTATTTTGATTTTTTTTTTTGACATGCAAAGCAGCACATGACCCCAGCCTGGGGGCATGTTGTTTTTTGGGGGGTATTTAGGGGAGAGCCCCATAGAGACACAAGGCCTGGACTGAGCTACAAAAGCCAGCCCCCACGCCTTCCTCCTAACAAGCGCAGGACTTCCCCTGCGCCCCAGTGAGAGTGTGTATGTGTAAGTGCAGACGAGTGACTGCGTGAGATAACACGTGTGTCTCTGACTGCTTGGAAGGGGGAAAGTCCCAGCCAAAACACTGGACCAGGTCACGTCCGTGTCCCAGACACCACACACTTTCCATGTTCACACTTACATGCGCGCGCTTGATGGAAAAGGTGGCAGACCATCTAGCACTCTGTGGCGTGCATATGATATCATCACAAGTTGTGATGTCATGGGTTTCTGATGTGGGCAGGATGATGTCAAGAAACATCCGTAAGGCTATTCATTTAAACGCCCACTTCTTGTGATTTCCACTTTCCCTTAAAGTGGTCGTCGGATATGAATCTCACCAAATAAGAGGAAAAAAAAAGTCCAACTTCGAAAACGTTCCTCAATGTACCTACAAGTGCTGGGTAAAGCATGAGTCATTGTTTCCTAGTCGACTTCCTGCCACGCTTAGGTTCACTCCTTGTTCTTTAACCTTAAACCTAAATTGCTTTTGGGGAGCAAAAAGAAAACCTTGCCAAACGTGCTAGCCCATGACAACTATGTTACTGTGCCAAAGTTTGGACTCAATGTTTTTAATAATATAAAATAAATGAAGTTGCAGATACATGTGTAACTTTGCTGTCCAAATGAAACCTTTTATCCACATAACTGCAGACCACTTCTATTGTTCCATTTATCCTGACAGTTCTATATTTAAATACATATTGTCAAAATTATTCTATATAAAATAAATTACTTTTAGAATTAATATAAGTGATTTTGAAACTTTTGAATGGTAGTGTATTTGTAAACAGCTTGTTTAAAGAAAAATGTATTAAGACAGTAAGCAAGAAAAAAAAGTCTTTATATATAAATACCCTTCATATAAAACACGACACATTTAAATCTTGTAAAATCTTTTCTTTAATTTACCTTCCTGGTTTCCATTCCCCCTCTGAGATGACCAATTTACAAACAACCTGTCCCTCTAAACCCCACCCCTGAGAAAACCCCACCCTCTAACCACTGATCACTGTGGAATGGGCTGATATGAGACTACCAAATCTGGATCGTAACGAGTGAAGTCTGGAACCCCACAGTACACAAGAATACAGACTAATAAACACACGTACCAAGGCACTCTCACGCACTCTCACGCACTACTGAGGACTGAAGTTGGGGACCACAGGTTGACTGCAGAGTCATCTGGAAGCTAAATTTTCCATGATTTCACATGTCGGCACAGGAGATCCAAACTGGTTTGAGCGTGTGGACCCCAACAGGGGGGACCATCAATATTTCTGTATTTCTCTTCCTACAAAAAAAAAAAGTGGATAAACAAAAACCTAAGGGTCGACAAAAAAAAAAATCCATATTTAATTTAGACGAGACTGACCCGCAGAGCACATACATATTTACAAGCTCCAAAAGTAAAAGTAAAAACAATCTTCCACTTTCTTTCCCTGTCCCACCAAAAAATCTTCAGATATTCTCCTTCTCTCACTTTTTTTTTTATCCAAAATAAAACTTATGAAAATAGAGGTGATGCAGCAGCAGTGCTGGCTGCGTGGGTTCTGGGCTGGGTGATGATACGGTAGCATTGCTGTTGTTAGTTGGAGGTCACAGTTCGTCCCTGTCCCTGAGGATGGTATAACGTGTCTCGCTGGGGGCCAGCTTCTGGAAGGAACTTTCTGGAGGACTACTGGCTGCTTCTTTGTTCTCCTCCTGCTGGAAGATGAACATCATATATGCACAAAACATCAATTGCTTGAAGGTAGTTCAACACTTAGAAAGGCTACGCTACCATTACAAGCTTTACACTATGTCCTAACAGTAGGGCTGTGCAATAAATTGTATTTTTATCAGTATCGCAATATGAGTTTTCACGATAAACACATTATTAAGGGTTGTGATGACAGAACAGATCATATGACCAAAATAGTAGTAATGAGAATTGTCACAACAAATGTTCATTATTATAATACTCCAAAACAGGAGTGCTTGAACCTGATTATGTTGCAGTGTTGTTAAGGTGAGGCAGAGATAGCATGGCTGTATCACTAACTAGGCTAACTTTCTAGATTAAGAAACCATGAAAACGTATTTCTCTGACAACGTTTGACCAACATGTTGGCACACTGTCCACTGGTATTACCTCATGTAGAAGACAATGAGTCCTCACCAGCATCTCACGTAACACTTGTTAGCTTTGTTATCTCTTTAGCTCATCTGTAGACGCAGCCTCTATTACTCATCAAACACGAAAAACCTATGGTTCTTCCTTGGCTGTTTTTGAATAATAAAACATGTTTCTCTGCCAGCCCCTGCATTTTGTGGAACACCAGTGCTAGAAAGATAAGCCTACATTATTTTCAGTCTTATTTTCTTACAGTTACCCAGTTAAAAAGTTCACAAACTCTTACAAAAACTCAAATATGAAAATTAGCCAGAATGCACATCCCTAACATCAAGTTAGAAAATTGTGCAGTGTATGTGTGATGCCCAGATCCAATCTCTCTGCCTCGACAGTACAGATTACAAATAGCACAGGAATGAAAAAACAACAAAAGTAACATTTTTTTCCCACTGAACGTAATAAAAATTAACAATAAATCAAGTGAAAACTTTACCTATTTTAAAAATGTTTTTGACCAGTTAATAATATTATTAATTTTGGAAGAGCATGGATTATGAACTCATTTTGACTAGCTCTGACCAGTTACTAACATTTCATTTCAGTTCATTTTTGTAGAATCAGGGATTAAAAACATAATTCTTCATTCAAGTTTTCCTCTGCAAGAAAACAAAGTCAACGTGTTAATTTGCCAACTTTGTAGCCTTTTTGACCACAGATGTACGGCAGCCCTTTGACCACTGCTGACCGAATCTTTCTTTTTTTTCTTCTGTTTTTGCCCCAGTAGCACCAGGATAATGTGGGGACCCTCCTTCTCTATTTAGCTATTTATTATTTGTACTCTTTTATACTTTTTAATTGATTTATTATTTTATTTTCTCCTCTTATTTTCCTTTGTCCCCCCCATTCTCGTGAATAAATTACAGATCCGTCAACTAATGCTCCTGGTGTAATTACACAGCTTAAGCTTAACTGATAATAATGGTTTTGTCATTGTTGCTTGCTCACGTCGCTGGGTGTTTTACTTGTTTCACACGTTACCGCTTGCACGCTTTGGCCATTCATACATACTGCGCTTACACTGCACAGCGGTATAGCATGCAAGTTCTACAAACATGCTTCTACCAAATGGTTAGACCATGATACTTCTGAAAACCTTGACACTTCTGTTTAACCTTGACAGCTTTCTGGCTTGTGATTGGGCAATTGTTTCAAGCCTGGTAGATCTGCCGGAAGTTGTTTACGCAGCAAAAAAATGTTCAGCTAGGATGTTAATTCCTTGATTAATGATTCATGTTCGTGTCTGTGTGAACACATCTGACACCAAGCATGCACACATGCATGTTCAATAAAGTGAACTGCAAACTAGGAGAGTGGCAGTGGTTAGCATGAGCTATTAGCATGGCAAGCATGACAAGACCTCTGCTCACCACAGAACATCGACTGTGGCTAACCAAAGCACTGACACAAGTTGAGCAGCTGGTGCTGAAGGGACAGAAAAGGTGAAATTAAACCCGTTTTTGGTGTTTGGAACTGCAGCTTGATCAGCTAAATGGACATTAGCTTAGCGAGGAGGCTACAGACCTGAACAGCCCAAACACTTCCGCACAGGGTTAATTTTGACTAAGCGGCGCTCTGCTGAAGTTTAGCCAATAAAAACGAACGTCGGAGAGAGCTAAAATTGAGCACAGCCTTGGTTCCAGCTAACTGATGCTAAAATGACACCCATTTAGAGGATTTCTAAGAGCGTGAAGTTGATTGACTAGGAAGAAACTGAAATCGATCATGTACTGTGGCGTGTAGCCATTGCTGAGCTACAATCATGCTTAAGTCCACTGCGCTCCAATCCTGAAAGTTCCAAACACTTGAAACAATTGTTTTCAATGGAGATACACTAGCGCCAATGCACAACGACTCCAAGCACTGGTCAGTTTCTCAGTGTATCACAGTGCTCCACTCAGCACTTTGTCGTTACTATGTTAAATTAAAGCTACATTGAGATCACAGAAAGCCACAGGAGATAACGTGGCTAAAATCTACACACAGAAAGGCAGTCAGTTTTTTTTAGATAAACAGATGTCAGCTAACATTACAGCTTGGTTTTTTCAGCACACTAACAGAGAGCTGTTAGGGAAGTAGTGAACTGATGCCAAGCGTGATTCATGATGATGAATGTTTTGTTTCATTAAATGTAAGTAATTAAATGTTACCAGCAAATATCATATGTTTAAATTACTGTCCCTCCCACTCGTGTGCAAAGCTGAAGTGATCAGCAAAAGAGTTAGTTTTGCTTCTCCAGAATTGTGTTTATATTTCATATCACACACCATATACACTCCTGTATATATATAAATATATATCTTTAGGCACCTCACGATTCGATTCGAACACGATTCAGAGGGCTGCGATGCAATTATAAAACGATTAGCGATGCATCCTTTTTTTCTATACACCATTTCTATTTTCCTACTGTCTGAGGACTTGGTAGTTTTAAAACAAAGTATTTGTAATGATCCATAATGCATTTACGCCCAATATCCTTTTTAATAAAACAAATGGAAGTGATGTGGCAAGTGAACTAGAAGGCTCTCATTCACTGCTCGTTTGGAGATGCTGCTGCCACTCATCTGCGTTAAAATGCGCCGTCTCGTGATGGGGGGGTGGGGGGTGCGAAAGACTGCAGGTCACGTAGCAACAAGGTTTTGCCAAGCTAGTAGCGAACGAAAAGGAAAAGAGAAAGACAGACGAACATTTGGAGATTAATGGACTTATTCGCATTTATAAGCATTTATTACATTCGGCGCCTCAGTCAGAATTTAAGGTGGAACCGGAAAGTTCAGCAAGAAGCTGGCGAATGAGAAGCGACTTCAGCCTCATAAAACAGCCAAACCCTGAGAGACATTTCACAAGAAACTATTCAACTTTTGAGGAAAAGTTTTCTGGCGGAGATGGAAGAAAAGCAGCTATAGCTGAAGCTTAAAGCAGAGCAGAGTAAATCTGCATTTTCATTTATATTGTTTAGTCTATACTAGAGCATTATCACATACTGACACATACTGGACATTAAATATTGTGGCTCCCAAGCTGGTTTGATTTTTGTTGAGAGGACAAAATGGCTCTTCTTATCATTTGTGTTGTGATACCTGACCTAATCTGGCTTTTAATGCAGAGGCTGCCGGTCGGATTTCTCACTTATCCCGCTGTGTTTTTGTTATGTGCCGCCACAGACTGTCCGGGCGCTGCACTTACCCACTTCCAAGTTCCGCCCTTTGCGTTCTGTGAACATTACGTTATAAATTAAATATTTAGAAAATCGATTTTTGACATTTATGAATCGATTCAGAATCGTCTACGTCTGCATCGCGATGCATCTAAGAATCGATTTTTTCCCGCACCCCTAAGATATAGATATATATATATATATATATATATATACACACATATATATACACACACACACAAACAAGGTGATGGCTGTAGTGAGCTTCACCCTGCGGTAGGCATCACATGACCACGGTAATGCGATCGTCACAGCTCTAGTCACATGGCTGCATACTGGCTATATATCCAACCTAGAACCAAATACACATCTGATTTCAGCCACAACCATACATTCAGAACTTACAGAACTCAACCATGCTCAAATCGACCCAAGTCTCAATAGTCCTCCAAGTTGGTGTTTTGAGGACTCTCCAGTCTAAGTGTATGCAATTCCACAGATGTCAGTGAATTCAGCACTGGCATTTCATTTACATATTAGTCCTAATTAAATGAAGTCTTCATCCGTTCCATTAGGCCCGGGTGCTTTTTCCAGAGCTTTTGACAGAATGATGTGCTGAGCTTCAGTTTGACGTCTGGTCTCACCAAATAGCTTTCTTTGATCGCACCAAAGAAGATGCAAATGACTGCAAAATATCATCTAAAGGGGTGCAGGTACTACAGATAGCGATTATAACCCTTTGATGACGGTTCAAATAGGAAGCTATCTAATAGTCACTGAAAGAAAAACCCACGTGTGTTTATGCTTTAATGCATGAAAGGTCAGTCCATTTTGTAATTTGTAACCCTTAGAAGTTGGTTATCGCTTGCGATAAAAGCATGTTGTAATTTTTAGAATATTTCTTACTCATAGCTCATGACTATCAATTTCCATGGAACTTCTAGAAAAGTGCAGATTGTAAAATTTAAGTCTATAATTTTTTTAATTTATAACATTTGTGTTTGTGAGTAGAAGAGGTATTTAGTTTGAATTTGACTGAAGTTAGTGTTGTGTTGTCTTCTTTTGAGGACAAAAAACTATCCTTTGGCATGTTCTTGTCATTTCCTGACCTCGAAACAATGTCGTAAAATGACGAAACTGCAGACTATGATATGTTACAGAATGCAAATATGCTTCTTGGCTAAGTAGTTATGTAAAAATGTAATTGCAAAATTACATTTGGTTGCTGTCGGGGCAAAACCTCTCTCCGTGTTTTTCTATAATTTATTTCTTTTAACAGATAATTTGAAAATAACAGCTGGTCTTTACCTTGTGTTAAAATGTCATGATGAATGGGCCATCAGAAATGGTAAAATTTATTTGGAAAGGAATCTTATTCTATTGAGTCACATTCAAAGTTGTTTTTTCATTCTCCTGTAAAGTTAATTAAGTTCGGAATATGAGATTTTGTCCCGACAGTGACCATACAGTAGAACAGCAAGAGACAACAACAATTTTAGATTTCTAAAGGTTAATGAATAATGTAATGTATAAAAACAAAATGTATAACAATACAATGTAAGACCTTATGCATAACACAATACACATCAGACCCTCAGGTCAACCCCCATTGGTAGAGAGATGGCACTGTTTCGTCATCGGGCCAATATCCAAGCCAGAATTTTCTGCAGATATCAGCCCGACAACAACGACATGTATCAAGGCAAAAAGAACAAATCAGATCCAATCCTGTAACAAATGTAGCTTAAACTCTAGCCCTCACTTATACTATGTGTTGTGATGTTAGCTGTGTATTTCATCCTGTGAGCTTACAGACTGTTTGAGTAGTTTAAACATCATAGCCCACTTTTACAAGCTCACCTAAAGTGAATTAGCTTAGAAAAATACTTGAAAGAAAATTTGGTATTGTGCCACCTCTACCCTTCAGTTAACCCATCCAAGCCTGGTTTATCTCTGACCTGTCCTGGGGTGCTATCTGTGGGGTCAGGACCATGGTGGAATTCTCTATGCAACTTTCCAGAGTGAAGGTCCAACACAAACTGCCTCAGTTTTCCAGGAACCCTAAAAAACACATGGGACAGACAAACATGCACAATCATGTCTTTGTCTGAAAGCCAGTTAGACGAGCAAACAGACAAAAATAAAAGTAAACTTGATGAGCGGCTTTATTGCTTAGATAAGTGATCGGGTAAGAGCTGGGGAAAGCTGGGCAGTCTCCAGAACCACGCGTCTCTAACGAGATAATGACATTGTCTGTCTTGCCGCAGACGCCATGGTAACTCAAACTCCTGGCCAGTCAAACATCAAAGACTGGAAAGATGTGGGCTGATAACACTGTGATTGGATAATGGAATACATAACACAGCGATTGGTTAATAAAACACGGCGTGTGCTGAATTACAATGCTTTCTGGAGCAGCACTGCCTTTAGAGTATAAATATAACATAAATGGCACAAATACTCAGCCCAAATATCTTACATATAGTCAGGTTTTCCATTTGAAAATGTCAGTTGCTCTTTACATTTCATTATGAATGAGCCAATAGAAATGGTCCAAAATTACTTAGACTAAAATTAGGGCTGGGTAGTATAACAATATTTATCGTTACTGTGACAAATTACATCACAATGTCACAATAAGCTTTTCTGAGAATATCGTGGATTTCATTAGTACTTATAAACATTTCCCAACTGCATGTCTGATTACAATAAGAGTATATTTAGTCCTGTTTAACTGGATTTAGTGCAGCACAGTGTGAAATGTTGAATATAAATCATTAAATACATAGACTTTGATAGTATTTTATAAATGTGACACTACTTTATCTTTTCCAATTGATCACATGATATGATATATTTTTTCTGACATCATGTATCATGAAAAGTTCTGAAAGTGTCATGATATTAAATTTTTTCATATTGGCCACCTCAAACTAAAATCTCATTACACTGACATACATTAAAGTTAAGACCGTTTCCATTTCAGAGATACAAGTTTTGCTACAAGAGAATTAATATACTTCTGCAGTAATGACATGGATTTACACATGAACGTGTGTGTGTGGGTGTATAAAATATATATATATTAGATGGTTTGAGGGTGAAGGCATAATTAGTGTTTAATTGTTAGGTGTCTGGTACAGCAGATAACCCATGGGGACGTGAAGGGGGGGCCGTAATTATTCTCTAAATGATACTGACTCATGCATAAGCATACATAAGCTTAATTAAAATATGTGGATACTTACGAGAGGTCGGCGAAATCTGGGAAGACATACATGTGGCGGAAACTATCAATGGCAATGACAGGGCAGTCGGCAGGAGTCTTCTGGATGTGCAACAGAGGATGCCGGAACTTATCACAATCAGCATGCAAGAAATTTATAGAGCCTGAGAGTGACAGAGAGAGACAGAGAGAACACACTGTTAAAAAACATATAGGCAAAATAATACTGTCTATTTACAGATGAGTGACAATCTAAAGCAAAAACTAACAAAGTCTTTTAGGCTACATTTACACAGCAGGGAAAAGTGGCCTAAATCGGATCTTTTTCTTCATCTGTGTGCCAGTGTGAACAGTCAAAAACGCACTGAATCTGACATACTGAAATCAGATACGTATCCGATATGCGGCAATGCGACTCAGTCTGAACAGCCAGATCGGTATTCCTGCGACTTTTACCTCAATCCAACCCGATATTCGTCATAATTTTGCGCTGCTGAGACCTCATAAACATTTAGGCTGATGTTTCCGTACCAAAAATTAGACAAAACTTATCTAAACCGCTCTGTATTCGAAGAGATTTTGAAAGAAATGGCCGAACGCGACCGCAGAAGAGCGAGGCTACAGCGTCAAATAACAGTTAAAAGTCTGAAAGCAGAGTTTAAAGAATCCTATGACATGAACCAAAGAAGTGACCATGGATGAATAATGTGTCCTTTTTATGGTGAGCTAGAACACATCCTGGGTGAGGAGCCGAGCTGTCAGCCATCGGAAGTTCATGATTGCTCCTGTGATGCTGGCGAAGATGAAACTGAAAGCTCTGGGAGCGACTGCCGTTCGTTCGTCAGTCATCATGATTGTTTACCTCTGGATGAACGAGTCATGTGAAGCAACATGAAGCACTGTTCTTTTGCGCATGCGAGTCAGTTTAGGAGCTGATCTGTTCAGACTAATGTCACATATAGGTCACATTTAAAAAGATAATGTGAACAGCCAAACAAAAAAAACAGATTTGGTGAGAAAATCAGATTTGGGCCACTTTTACCTGCTGTGAGAACGTAGCCTTAAGTAAGCTGCTGGACCACCACGATCTACCAGAACAATGCAAAATAGAGGACTCGTGTACTTCTGCCACCTCTGCTAAAGCCTAAGAACGGGTCTACATTACACGATTCTTTGGCCGATTTTAAGCCCGATCTGCCCCCAGCTCTCACTGTATCAACGTTTCTCAGCCCCATATTAATCCCCAGTGTGCACTTTCGCTGCACAGAAAAGCACAAACTGGTCTGTTCCTGTAAATTTAGCTTTGTTGTGTCATGTGATTTCTGAGGACATGTGGGAGTTTAAGTTCTTATTTGTAGCCCAAACTCATGGAGTGTGTTATACTCTCTCTTTGCCTTGTGGTCTAGTGTGAGTGCCCTAACGATAAAAAGACAAGAAATTCAGAGTCAAACTGAAGTTAAGTTTGTGATGCTCTCCGTTTTAGAAATCTGGTAAGATTTTTAAAGTCGTGTTGTGTACGCCCAGCCTAAGTCAGTTAAAGTCTGAAATGAGTTTTCAACTAATTCTGCAGGAAGATCCATATATACAGGTTTGTGTTTTGTAATTTACCGTTAGCAGAATGGTGAAGTTACTTGCTCTCTACACAGGAAAACATGGTTTAAGCCCAGCGCAGTGAAGCTCTTGTTGGGCTTCTAATACTACATTCTCCAATCTAATGACGTCACTTTGGCGCTGCGTTAGCTAATTTGATCCAGTCAGTCATCGCAAGAACAGCATTCAGAAACTGTTATTAACGATAAATAATACATAACACAGCAGAATTTTTTTTTGTGTCAGCCTAAAGGTGTTAACTGTTGTAACGCTAGGATTATAAATCAACTTTTTTTTTTCCCTTATAACCTCTGCCTGCTGTCTGAGCCCTGTGCATTTGCACCCCTCTCTCCATGCCCATGGTTTGACCCTTGAACCTGTGACCCCGTGTGTGCCCTCCTCTCCATGCCTGCTGTTTGACCACTGTGTGTACACACCCTTCTCGCTGATCAGCTGGCGAGCCACCTCGTGTTGGAACTTCTCCAGACTGTCCGTGTCATCCTTCTGATGGAAGAGAATTAGGAATGGAATGCCCTCTTCTGTCAGCTCCTGCAAACATACACAAAAAACTCAGTTTACTACCGAGGTTAAATATATCTTGCAGACTTTTTAAAGAGGTATGTGACTTGAGTTGATCTGTGGGTTGTCTAGAAGTGTGTCTCCCTATCCACTTGCTAAGTGACACCAAAAAGAAGCTTAAAGCTGTATGCTGGATCTAAGAAAATGTGCTAAATCTGAAGAAAGTCACATATTAGGAGTGTAAACACTGTGATTCAACTTCAGGCTTGCGGCGACTGATGATGGTATCAGGAATCGCTGATAGACTGCATCTACTGTGACTGCTACCAAGCCAGATGATTTGAATGTCTGAAAACACACTGTCTGTGGCTTTATAATGGACAAAATGAAAGCATGTGCAATTTGTTTTCTTTTAACATGAAGTCCATGTCCTGTATCAGTCCTGATACATGTCCGGCTTCAGAACATTCCATGTCAGTTTCAGGCAGTGTGAGGTACCACTTGTTAAACTGTGGTGAAACTGTCGATTTCATAATTTCCTGAAGTATCGCAATTAAGTCAAATGGTTGAGATGTACATCCCTACCACAACCCACCAATGCTGCACACACACAAACACAGCGTTAAGAGTGTGGGAAAAGTACACTAAAGAAAAAGGGCCTTTTCTCATGCTAATGAATCACTGTACAGCTGGACAGCTAACAAGCATGAAATGTTTAACATGAGAAAGAACCGATGGAAAAAAATAACACACTGTACAAACTAAACCCTAAAAATACATGTTAACAAGTGTGACCAAAAAGAGAGAAAGATACAGAAGGGATTTTACCTCTCCATTCTCAAAAGTGATCTCTCGGACGAGGGGTACACACTTGTCCTGTGCCCAGGCGTAAATGAGGTCAAAATTTGTTAGTGAACCCAGGTAGACCATGTCAGGAACACTCTCTCCTATTGGCTTGTAGATAACATTATCACCACTGAACCTCTCAGGCTTAGACACCTCACTGAAAGAGAAAAAAAGAACAAAAAAGGCAATAAATATTCTACCAATCACATCTAGGGCCATCGCAATTACTTCATTAAATAAATTAAAAGAAAAAAATTATTGGTTATAATTTTCCAATGTTTTGTTAGAAAATTTGCATGATGATAGAGCACTAGGAGAATTTAAAATGTGATTCTCCATGTGATGTGATGATCTGATTACCCAAGTGCATGTAAACACATTGATCAGATTACTGACAAAATCAGATTTTCTGCAGTTATCGGATTTTTAAGTGCATGTAAACACACTCATCATAACAAGTAAAATGTAAAACACAAGCCATAATTTTTGCACATGCCAAATTTTATGTTAATTTTTTCTTGATACGTTAAAATCAGAAAATAAATGGTAATTGTGCATTAAAATGTGCAGACGTGTGTTCCTTGTTAAGGATGTGTACTTATTTTTACTTAGACAATCAACAAAAACGTAAATTTGACCAGATGTGCTCAAACTTTATATTAAAATGTATATAGCTTTTAACTTAATTTTTTATTATTCAATAAAGCACTACTGGGTCCATATTCAGCTTTTCAGAACAGAAATGCTGTTCTAGTATCTGTTACTGTCCATAAGGTCAGAGTAAACTAGAAGAGATTCTGATCGTAAATCAGATAGTTATTTTAGCCATATTACCAAGCTCAATTCGTACCAACATAATCGTAATATGGTATAGCATCCAAATCATGCAACCCTACTGATCTTTTAGCTTTCATCAAGAAAAAAATTATATCTGCGCTCTCTTACCCAAACGCTGCCATGAAGACACAGTCATCTCTCAGGATGTTGGCTACTTTTTCGTAAGTATGGTAATTGTCCGAGTTCTTCTGCTCAAAGTAGCCTATAATGGTTCGTCTCGTTCTCTGTGTATGGGAGGGGGGGGGGAATCTGGTTGGTGTTGCATTTATGCAGTAAAAATCAGCTACTGGTGTTCACTTTTTAATAGGAGTTCAATTTTATTCGAGCGGGAATAGGCAGCTCCTGGAGCGCATGTGTGTGTGAGTGGTGTCAACTCACATCTATTTTGTTGACCTCCTCCAGGCTCTGGATCTCTGAGATAGGGTCCACTTGCTGCTGGCGGATGAAGTCGGCGATGGCAGTCACTGATCTCTGACCTCTGTATTCCCTTTTCATCATCATGCCATTTCTAAAGAGCTTCAGAGTGGGGTACTTGCTTATCCTGTAGCGCTGTGCTATATCAGCTAGAGAGGAAACATTTGCACATTACACCAACATTCAATTCAACTTAACTTCTATAGCACTTGCACAGTGAAAAAGTTTGTGTCCCAAAACAGTTGTCCAGAAATGTGGATCCAGATCTGTAACAAGTGTTGTGTCATGTTTTCCTGCCAAGGTGCTCAAGAGTACTGTTGGACCACCGGGTTGAAAGGAGACAGTGGCAGGTCTCATATGCACTGGAGGAAGTGGCACAATCACCTCATGTACTATACTGTTTGTGTTGACTTGTGACAAACACAAAGGTAGTGACCTACATTGGGAATTGGTAATAAGAAAAATAAAAAAGGGACAATAAAATGGTCTTCTACCCATGTTTGCTTTGTGTGACTAAACAAGGACACATGACGATTTATCAAGGAGACATGTATTTAGCTTTGTTCAGTTGTTTGTATATAGGAAATTTCAGAGAAAGGGCTGAACTGCTGTGGGATCTTTGAGGCTGAATGCATAGTATGAGAGAAAAAGAAAAGAGAAATTGAGAAATGGGGGAGGGGGCAAGAGAAAGAAGAGGGAAAAAACATGAAAGCAAACCCCATACCGGGGGTTAAATACTGCAAAGCTCATGGGGTGGAATCTAGCGCGCTCTCTCTCTCTCTCTCGCGCGCGCGCGCTCTCTCGCTCTCTCTCTCTCTCTCTCTCTCTCTCTCTCTCTCTCTCTCTCTCTCTCTCTCTCTCTCTCTCTCTCTCTCTCTCTCTCTCGCGCGCGCGCTCTCTCTCTCTCTCTCTCTCTCTCTCTCTCGTGCGCGCGCGCGCTCTCTCTCTCTCTCTCTCACGCGCTCTCTCTCTCTCTCTCACGCGCTCTCTCTCTCTCTCTCTCTCACGCGCTCTCTCTCTCTCTCACACACAGACACACAGACACACACACAGTTGGGTATCTTTGAGCTGCGTTTGCTTCACAGAAGATGCAGTTTTGTCATTAAACCATCAAACACTTTACAGGTCATCAATAATTCTGTTTAATTTATATGAAAGGCTAAGCTGATGTGTGTGTGTGTGTGTGTGTGTGTGTGTGTGTGTGTGTGTGCGTGTGAGTATACTCACTATGCTGGTCGCAGTCCACCCGGGCAAACACCACCTGTGTTGCCTCTGGAAACTCCTCCCTCACCACATTAGAAGCTTCTTCAAAGATAGGGTGCAGCATCTGACTGAACCGACACCTAAACACACACACACACACACACTTTAGACCATCAAAGCTTTGGACAAACGAGAAATACATATACATGCTCATAAGCACAGCATAAGAAGCAATTATCTACACCCACACACATATTTGTATTACTATACTTGTCAGGGTCTAAATAAACCTAACACTGACCCAAAACCAAACCCTTATGAAAACAGTACCTTTAAAGCGATACACAATTTTCATCTTACCCTAAATGTAGTGGATCAGCCAAGACATGAATTCATTAGTTTGGTGCCAGAACTATGAGGCTAATGTGGCAAACAAATAAGAGAAGCTTATGGCTACCAATTAGCACCACGCATACTGCATGCATAAATCATCACATTCGCTTCAAAAGGAGTTGTTCAGTAATCTTGAGTAGAATTGCTTGTGTGTGTGTGCCTAAATAGACAAAGGGGCAGACAAAATTCAGGCTTCAGAGTAGCTGCTGCTATTTGTTTTTAGCCATGCCATATACTTTAGTCCATTTTTAAAGAAAGACGATCTGTAATATATTTTCTTTACTGGTCAAACTGCACTTTTGGCTAAACTATTGCTTTAAACTTAAGCTGAAACCTACCTTCAGCCATAACCCATAAATAAAACCTTCTTAATTTCTTCTAAAACTGGAATTGTTTGGGCCTAGTTATATTTGGAATATGAGAAGTACAGAAGGAAGTGCACAGTCAGACACACAAACTCAAGTAACTTGGGGATGAACTCACCAGTCTGCATAGAAGTTGACTAAAGCCACCCCGGCATTATCTGTGGAAGAACAAGTTTAATTTGAGTTAAACTGCTGTAGTGACAGAGTGCCACAAAACAACCTGCTGATTTGCTACGTCTAACAACCGCATGTGAGTGACTTGCATACACAATGAAGCTGTAAAAATGCAACAATTCTAAATTTCTTCCATCATTTTAAAAGGTTACAAGGTTTAAAACAAATTAAATAAAACAATAAAATTACACATTAATTTCTTTCCAAAATAAAATTCTCAGTTTATTTTTAAACAGAAAAACAGTGGTACATTGGCTGCTGTCATGTTTGTATAATATCAGCATATTTTTAAACATAATTCTCAATCATACCAAATCAGAGATGTGAATTTTGGCAAATTCTAGTCAGTGATTAATAGTTACCTGGTAAGCCTATAATTAAGAACATGACTCATCAAATATCAGTGATAAAATAGACTGTTCTGGTTCTAAAACATGACTGTTTGAGCCACATTTTTAAAGCCATAATTAAACCAGGCATAGCCAGGCATAAGTGTGTACATGAAGTACATGAAATATCCCCTACATAAGAACCCTGTTCTGTTTAAAACGAGGTGTTGACAACTTTTAATATGTTCTTGATTACATGACAGAAAACTAAAAGGTTGACGAAATGCCTGGATATATTTATTTTAATGTGCTGTTAAAAGTGCTATAGCATGTTCTAGCAAGTTCTAAAGTTATGTTTATCACTCATAACTAGCTGAAGTTAAGACAACCACAATTTACACTCTTGAACCACACACACACATAGGCCAAACTTACTAAGTATGTCATCGATGTTTCCTGCATCCAGACTGGTAATCTCTCCCCGCACTGGAGTGTACAGTCCGGTTACCTGGCAAGCAAAGACAAAACACAGGAAATGACATCTTCCCTAGCCTTATAATTATAATGTTCGACTGCAGCACTTCTGCTTTTGTGACAATCTTAGAGTGTACAAAATTAAACATCTACTTGAGCTGGATCATGCTAATACAAGTTGCTGGCTATTCTTGTTCGGTGCTAAAAGGCTCACAAAGGGTTCTCATGTAAAGGTAAATGTAAAGACGAAATATTTGATATTTGATATCACATATCAAAATACCAAAAAATGCACTGAATCTTGTACTCAACTCAACATCATATATCCTAAATCAAATCACAAGCAGGCTTGTGCATCATACAGCAGCGACATCAAAACATCCATTGTGGGTTGAGAGTCGGACTGCATTCCACAACGTGGGTGTCTTTGCTGAATTTGTAGACAAGATGATATTTTATTAATATATTGATAAAGCAAAATATGCTTTTCTAGAACAATGAGTAACTGCATGTTTCACTACAAAGAGAGCATAATTAGGCCTGTTTAACTGGATATAGTGCAGTTCACAGATTTAAAATAGCTCATTTTACAGCTCAGTGGAAGAAATACTGGGTCAATATTGGCAGTTTCGATAGTCTCGTATAATAGTCACTATACTCATAGTAACAGTATTTTTAAATTTGGCACTACTGGTGCATTTAGTCTGTTCTAAATTATCAAACAAAATATTTAAAAAAATATCAAAACAAAATATTGTGATGTGCATCCTATATCATTTTGCAAATGTTATTTTTGTTTACTCATGATAGTTTTTAGTTAAAAGTTTTTGCTGCACTAAATCCAATTAAATAGGACTAATTATGCTGTCTTTGTGATCAAAAATGCATTTTTAAGTACTGACTATATTGACAATATTCTCAGAAAAGCATACTGCGATGTACTTTATCACAATAACGATAAATATTGTCATACTGACCAGCCCTACGCACTACAAAACTACCATTCTGAACAAAAAAAAAATAAAAAATTTAACATGTATACATAGGAAGAAAAATTAACACTTTCAGTCAGTAGTAAAAGCCACTTTCAACCATTACTCTGATTAAATAAGTAAAAATAAGCATTCTGATTTAAAGTGGAGTTCAAATAAGCTATTACGCTCACTTGGAAAAAGAAACACTGTGCATCCAACAATAAAGAACACCTTGTGTATCTTTTGCATGGTGTTAGAAAAGACGAACTACATGGTGAAACTGATAAAATAATTTAACTGTTGCCAATAAGGACGTGCACCCGTTCTAACTCACTTAAATGAGTGGCTTTCTTTTTTTAGGCCTCATACCAGGCTCCTTAGTGGAATATATTATAGCCCGTTACCATCACCTCATTCAATGACCTACTATTATTAGAGGATCAGTACCACAAAGAAATTCGTATGTGTATGTCAGGCGCAGGTACACCACATGCAAATCTACCACTGTGACCCATGAATTTTATGTCTTCCCATGCAAATTATTGATGAATGAAAGAAAAGTTAAGCCATCTCACAGCTTATGTGTTGCCCATTTGTGTTAATTTATCTTTCTTAAATTTGCTGACCACTTGTATATAGAGATGAAACGATATTAAAATTTCATATCACGATTATCATGACCAAAATTATCACGATTATCGGTATTATCGCGATATTGTTCAAATGTGTTGAAAAGTAAAATAAATAAAAAAATAAATACTGATACACAAACTGAAACTTGTTTCACCAACTTTTATATTAACACAAATAGAATTGGCAGCAATATGCACTTTTTGTTTGCATAAACATAAAAAAATATGGTCAATACATTTTTAGTATTACTTTTGTATTACTTACAATACTTGTAATACTCTGTTAACAAAAGAATAGCAAGTGTATTATTATTACTGTTATTATTCTTATTATTACTGTTGTAATTATTTTTTTATTATTATTATTGTTATTATTATTATTATTATTATTAATTACAATAACTAGGGATTTCCCTGCATAGAGAATTAAATCTCGACCAACTCTGAGGTGGGTCTTAATGGAAAATTACTACTTCTAAGAAGTGTTGCAGTCGGGGGATTTCTGTCCGAACTGCAATTGCAGCATTATTGTGCCGTTGTGGCGCTGAACCCCTAATCAATACAGTGCACCAGGAAAAACAGCCAAAATCACAGAGGAATTACATGACCGCGCTGTGAGCTGCAGACAGTGTAGAACTCACACAGTGCGTCTCCACCTGTTGAGCTGCTTCTCTAAAAGCATTTTAAAACTAAAACATAACTTAAAATTAACATGCATCTGTGCTGCGGCAGAAACACTCCTAAAGTTTAATCTCTGAAACTGCTTTTCCTAAAAGCGGCACACAGCGTTTACTCAAGGTCCCGTCTCAAAGCACACTATCTTCCCTATGTAGTGCACTTTGTGGATCATGAAATAGCAAATCCTTCACCCAAAGAGTGCATGAAATGTTCGACTAAGTCATCTATAATCAACATTAACAACAGGTTACAAATTCCCTATTTAAAACTCAACTGCTTGTTAATGATGTTCGTGTTTGAACAGTAGCGCCCTCCGTAGGGGACACTGAGTGATTTGAGACGGTGTTATTCTCTTCTCAGACAGTAAACACTGCAAGCGAGAAGAGAAAGGGGAGCTGTGCAGATTGAACTTCTGCAGCGTCTTGTTAACTCAGAGCTCATTTTGGAGACTCTGCTCCACAGAAATGTGTTAAAAGCTTTAGTATTGATTCACAGTACTCAAAGCTTCATTTTTTATTATTAACGAACCATAAACATAAGTTAAACCACACAAACCGTGACATTTCTTCTATTTCGAAGTCTCCACAGACTTCTCCGTTAAAGTTAACCTTGCATTCTTGCAAGTAGCGGGTGGTGGTTGCGAAGATGACTCGGTAAGGTTTGATGTGTTGCCCCCTTTCGCCGCTATTTTCTTTCGGCCTGTTCTGCAGACAGGGTAGTCATCTTCAATTAGCTTTCCTTCTGCACCATTATAAACCCAAAACATGACCAAACGTCAGACTTGGTCTTCTTAGAAGGCTGAAATATCTCGGAATCTCCGAGTTTTTCCACACAGCGGTAATCGACCGCGGTTTTAACGATACTTTAAAGTTCAAACGGTACTACTAACCGTCATTAATTCTACCGCGGTTTACCGTGAAACCGGTAACCGTTTCAACTCTACTTGTATAAAGCATCAGACAACTTAAAAACCACTGTGCTCTCCCTTACTTTTACTATCATTACAGAATTATTACAAAAATAAACAACAAAGCAATTAGAAGCTAAATTCACAATTATCAGTCAGTTTAATTTGACAGTTGTCACCTATAAGTGGCCAAATGCTCATTGTTTCGCAAGCACTGTAACATCATCCCTGAGCTGATGCCTTTCAGAAGTGTTGTAGATGATGAATGTCTAAGAAGATAAGTCCACAGACGGTGTGTGCAATCAAGTAACATCCGACTTAAGAATATGGTTTAAGTACACTAACGTATAAAGTTACTTTCAAATGTACAAATGTAGTCAATTTCATTGGACCAAACCACTCTGTGAAACTCTTTACTCTTCTATCCTCTGAACCCACTTCCTGAATTACACCAAGTTCAAAAATAACTTATTTTCTAACCTACCCAAAAGCAGCTCCTCTAAATGAGTGTGTAAGCTTGCCAGATTCTAGAAGAAACCTAGGATCCTGGTGAGTGAAGTGAAAACTCTAAACTAGGTTTAGTTTGCACTTCGCAAACATAGCAATATTTGCATTTCAGTTCAGAACTCAACAGGCACAAGGAAAAGCTACATTTTTAAAATCTAACAACATCCTTAGAAACACAGAGAGAGCAGTATGATTACTCCACTCTTCGGAAATCAGCTCAAAGTTGGTGCAAATTCCAGGGCCAAGCTATAACATAGCTGCTACTGTCAACCTTGAAGTATTCGTATGAGACCACTTCATAGTACTGCAAACCATTTCTATAAGATCACATTTGTTTCCTTAGTATAACAGTTGATGTTTCCTAGTTTTGGATACAGTGAAGTTTTGCATCAGTTAAGCTCCTCATTTAAATAACACTTTGGTTTGATTTACCTGGAATTCGAATGCAGGCATAATGTGTGAGGATGTGTGCAATGGATGACAGGTACTTTTCTAAACAAGATAGTTTGCTTAAGGATAGGTCCAAATTTGCTTAAGGAAAGTCTGCATGTTGGGCAGACTATCTGGCTGGGTGGCTGAATCTCCACTTACATACCAAACTGGTAACCATCACACTACAAATCCTAATCATTAAGGTAATTCAATGAATTAGCAAGTATAGCATAGCAGTTCATTATAATTCAACATGCACAATGGCCAAAAGTATGTGGACACCATTTCAAATTTGTAGATTTGTTTATTTCAGTCACATCCACCACTAAGAGGTGTATACAATCAGCATATGGCCATACAACCTCCACTGACAAGCATTAGGATTAGAATGGGTTTTAATGAATCTCAGAGACTTTCGACATGGATGCATCATACAGATGCAACCTCTCTGTCAAGTCAGTTAGCACTGCTATATCCAGCAACTGTAAGTTCTGTTATGAAGCCGAGTCATCTAGAAGGCCTAAGATCACCATGTGCAATGCCAAGACTCAAGCAGTAGATACGTTCTCAGGAGTGAAGGATCACACTTCACCATCTTGCAGTCTGACGGACTAATCTGGGTTTGGTGGATGCTGGACAATGCTACCTGCACAAATGAACAGTGCAAACTTGATAGTTTGGTAGACAAGGAATAATGATCTGGGGCTGCTTTTCATGGTTTAGGCTGGTCCCCTTAGTTCCAGCAAAGGGAAACCATAAAACATGGAAAAAAACAACTTTATGGCAACAGTTTGGAGAAGGCCCTTCCCTGTTTCAGCATGACCACAAAGCAAAGTCCATAAAGAAATGGACTGTAGAATCTGGTGTAAAAGAACTTGACTGGCCTGCACAGAGCACTGACCTCAGTCTCATTCAGCACCTTTGGGATGAACTGGAACACCAAGTGTGAACCAGGCCGTACTGCCCAACATCAGTAACGCTCTTGTGGCTAAACTGAAGTGAATCTCTATATTCCAAAACCTAGTGGAAAGCCTTCTCAAACAGGTTGAAGCTGTATAAACGCGATAAAACGATAACGATAATTATCACGATATAACTTCCTCGATAGAGCGATATGACATGTTCGATAAATGTTCGATATAATACACCATTCTCACACTTCCACGTTCTAGCGAAAGCCTTGGTGGCGTTTTCTACTACAAGGAAAGCGACACTACTCTGCTGTCGCCAGGAGAGGGCGCACTTCCGAGTTTTTCTACATGATTTGAGAGGGAGGAGGCCACGAGTAAGATGAGTCTTTAGCAACGGCTGAAACGCGGAGTTATACATTCCCTGTTTGAGTGGAGCGACCGGCGATCTGATCTCCTGTGACCGAGTCTGAGTGAGGAGGTCAGTGGTGTAACTGTACTGTCCTACAGTGAACTCACCTCTTTCCGTACATCCTAACAACTTTAGCAGCGATAAATCAAAATCCTCACAACTACAGCGCTGTTGCAGCGCTCAGTCATATTTAGTATTAGTGCATTCCCAAGCAACAAAAGTGAAAGAAAGAAGTGAGTTCATGTAAATTACAGCCCTGATTTAAACGAAAGTAAACTGAGGAAGCTGTGAGGCATTGGAGAGCGGGAGAGCGCTAGTTTTCCAGGCTAGCTGTTTTTAGCAGCTGGCTAACTTGAAGCAGCGCTCCGTCACTGCACAACACGGAGAATTGATGATACTGTAGATCAGACAAGACACAAAAGCACCGCTTTCAGTTTAAATGTACCTAAAAGGAGGACTCTGTTTGTCTGGCGTTGATATTTTGTGGTTCACCCCTTAAACTACTACGATAGTATAGAGAAATCCAGTCGTTGCTAGCTGGTGTCTGAATACTGTGATATCATTTGTAGCGGGGTAGCCGAGCGCTCGTCACCAGCTAAAATAATCTGTTTTCTTTCTTAAATTATGACTATACAAAATAGCCATGCTTTTCCAGCTGGTAAAAACAGCTCACCAGACACTTTCTCCCACTCTCCCATGACAGATCTGTGAAATGTTCCACTGTTTGGCGAGTGTTTGTTTTGATCCGACCATAAAGGATAGTTTAAAACAGCAGTTAACCACCCAGGAGCAAAAATCAGCCTTCAAACTTGAAAGAAATAATGATTAGACATTTATCGCGGTATGTATCGATATCGAACGATATGAATTTTGCTTATCGTGATAACATTTTTGGCCATATCGCCCAGCTCTAGCTCATGAGCACATACGGATGTGATGTTTGGGTATTATGTATTTATCTATGACCTATGTGAAACAAGGCCAAGTGCCTCAATGTGTTCCTAAGCTGAGAGTGAGACTGCTAACCCTGTAAGAAAAGGCCTACCAAAAAGCATCTAAACAATCAGAAAAAACAGATTCTAACACACAAACAGTCTGCGAGCCATATGGCCAGCCCAGCCATAGTGTTGGCAGGCAGTGAACAGCACTGCTTAAATTCATCAGCTAATCTCACAGTGCGCTCAACCCTCCTACTGTCACCAAAACATAACACAACTACATATGAGCTGATCCCTGGCCTAATCCACAATCCGTATAACATGGCACACTTCCACAACCAGTCCCCTCAAGATATTCACACAGCAAGAAGGGCAACAATCCTCCATCTCAAACTGCCACTGTCCGCATAAACATAAGGTAAAAGCATAATAAGGGTGGTTAATGAGTTGTTACTGAAATCAGGCGTGGGTGGTATACCGGTTCATCCAGTATACTGGTTGAAATTCTTCCTCAGTTTTCATCACCATTATACCTGTATGCTACAAATAAGCAATGTCACATACAAGCAGTGCACACCATGCTAACCTTAGCCTGTTTAGCCAAAAGGCTGAATTTCAGTCACAGTTTCAAGTAAAAATGAAAATGCTGCCTAGTCTGTTGCATCTGAAGTAGTCCACTTTGTTTTCAAGACAGTGGACGTAAAGGAATTGCCAGTTTTCAAAGTTAACCTTAGTCTATCACAAACACCAGAGTACTTCCCCTTGTACCGTCAACTCGGTCAGCTGCATCAGACGAAGCTGCTGTGGACCAGCTGGTACCGACCTATGAAGGTGTAACAACTCCAGCAGTCTCTGATGGTTGGAGACAGAAATGTACGGGACGCACGTATGAGACAAATGACTTGAGAAACAAATAGCAAGTGAATAAGAAGCCAACTTCAGCTTTGCAGAAAGTAAGACTTGAATGCAACACAAAGCATATCAGAAAGCAATCTCATCCTTGGTTTATCTATATATTGTTCAGTACGAGGGGGGCTGTGGGACCGAAAAAGCTCTGTGAAATATGCAGGCCAAAAAGTTTTAACAAAAGACTGCAAGGTAGTGATATGGGTGGTATCCTCTCATTCCAATGCAAAAGTAACACCACTGTGATCATCTGTCCCAGAATCAGATTTGTCTCTTATTTACAATGACCTTGCTAACAGGGACAAATCTTAGATCAACACTTCTCTTAGAAACTTTATGGTCCTAGTCTCTTGCAGTATCATCACTACTTATAGTGCAATGTATTCATTCTACTTGCTGTTTTGTTATTTTTCTGCAAAGACGTCAAGCAGCAAGCGTAAAAGTGATACTGTGTACAGTACAGATGGGCAGGGAGTGGTTCCATAGGTGTCAGTGATAACACAAGCAAGCAAGCATGCAAGCACGTCCAACAGGTCAGCGTTTCTGGTGTTCTAGCCAGCACTTGTCCATCCTTAATGGTTGAGATGAAAATGGTAAGAGGCAGAGAGTTACTGATAATGAGAGACTTCCATGCCCACCGTTCAGACCAACAAAAAGCCAGTACACATGTATACAGATACACAGCAAAAAAGGGATATTGTGAATCCTCATGTTTCACATCATATGTTTTAAATAACCAAATTAAATAAACGTATTCTACAGCATGCTTCAAATGAATAGGAGCCTTTAAAACTGTACTGCATTGGCAGCAAGGCCCATGCTGACTTTACTTCACGCTGCAAAGAGCAAGCAAGTTCCGGGTTGCCAGCCAATAGGATTCGGCCACAACAGAGAACTCCACCAATAGGCGTCTTCTTTGCGGGCACGAAAGGCATCCCAAAATAACCCCATATAAACTTGTTATGCTGAATTGTACATTTGATAGTTACACAGTTACTGTTGTAGCGAATACTGGAAAAAATTACAGAACCTAACAGTTAAAATGACTTTCTCCGCTGAATGAAGAAGACGCCCGGAAGAAAGTTTTATAGTTGCTGTTTCTGCCAGGTAATGTTTCTCGGCTAAATGCCGACACTCAGTTTTCGTTCTTGCTGACATTTTCGCCCTGTATGGCAGAAGCAGCAAGACATTAATGAACGTTTACTGCCTTTAAACCCACTTAGTTTACTATTAGAAATATCTACTTCGTTAATGCAGTCTTGTCTTGAGCCGGCGTAGCTAACTGGGTTACATGTTACTGATTTTCATCCTCGAAAACGGCTTCGGTTTTGCAAATACTCTACCACTGCAAGGTAACAGCAAGTCCCTGTTTATTTGCTAGCGACACAATTGGAATAAATTACAAACGTTTTGAAAAATAATGCTCCTACTTCACTTTAAACCAATACGAATAGCTAAACAATTTAGCTAGCAAGCTAGCTTAGCTAGTTAGCTAGCCAATGTCCCGCCTCTTTGTGAAACTTGCGTTAAGTTACTCATAGACAGAATCAATATTAGTTGGATAAGTGACTTCACTAACGCTAGCTATCTTGCTGGCTTTAAATGCCTTAGCAAGTAAGTTATCCGCCACAGTCCACTGTGGCTAAGTTAACTGGTTAGCAAAACTGAATAATGCTTACTGCAGCTAATTTACTAGCAGAAGACCTTCAAAGACCGCGAGAAATTATATGCAGCCCATGAGCTGAAGGATGTTACTTTGCAGCTAAGCTGTATAAAAAACGCCAGTTTACATTAAATCGCTGTTACTTCGCACCAAGCCTTGACATCCATCTAACTCTTGGCTAGCGTTCGATGCTAGCTCGCTAGCATGACTTTCTACAGAAAAAGAAGTCGCTATACTCGCCAAAGTGCACTTTATTTTGCTGCAACTTACCAGGAGTAAGGTAAAGTAGTGGAGTTCGTGGGCGGGCATAAATGAAGTTAATTTCATCGTACAGTGGAGCTGATTGAGGTTATGATGTTCCTAAATGTTCCCAGTCTCTCGACACCACCTCCTCTCCTCTGCTGCAAGGAAACGGCGGACGGTTCGCACAGCCGACTTCGGCACGAAGCGTGAACCCCCCCCGGCTGCGCGAACGTAATTATGGGAAGTGAAGTCAGTCAAACACGGTTTCTCAGTCGACGAGGCGAAATGAAAACTACAAATACCAGACAACATCGCGACGCGGATCTTGTAGTTCTAGCTACGGTCCTTGTAGTTTTTAAACATGCGAGTCTCCAGATGTGTTTGCGGCAAGAAGAAAAGTTTCAGTTGTCTGTATTTGACTGTATCACTTTTTCAGAACTGCGAGAAAACTGTTATACAGTGCCGAGCTTGCGATTCTTTTACAGCTCGCCGTGTAGTGCGTGATATCCAATGGCGATAATTAACGGACTGTATTGCATCTTGAATGAGGTGAGTTGCATCACCGTTCTGGGAGTTATGCTCTTTTCAAGACGAACTTTCTGTTGACTTCTTTGTTGACGTTTATTGACATTTTCAGATTAAAAAGTTGTGTAAGTTTCAGAATCCGTGTTTACGGAGCTGCCTGTGAACGGTTATTGTGCAAGGCTGCTAATTTTCCTAGCTAAAGCTGTGATTCATTGTGGACTTAACAGCAAAACAACAACATCCGTGAAAACGAAGCCCGAATTCAGTAAATGTTAGTAGACGTATAGAATATAGTGATTATTTTCATATAGACTGTAAATTTTAATGTGTTACATCTGATTAGTAGTAGCAATGATGTAACGTAGATATTTTTGGGACATCAGCTGATGTGAGAGAGAGATGGGTGATATGGGACACGTTATAGGCCCTGCAAAAGATATTCTTTAGTTGAATTTCCCCCTAAACCTTACTTTTTTCTGATTTATTGGGCCTATTTACAGCATTTTGCTTATTTAGAAAGAATGTGCTACCTAGCATGGCTCAGAATACCTGAATCCACTGTAATCCACAGAACCTCAGGAAGATTAGAATGAAGTAATTAATTGCTGCTTTATTTGTAAAGTGTGTACTTTTTGTAAAAAGAGTACTTTCTTTTCTAGCTGTATACCTTTTTGCAGTAATGTACTGTTATACTTATGTACTATAAAATAATAATGACATGACTGTCTGTTGGCAATGTTCAGTCTTACAATTCTCTTAGAATTTACTGCTTTCTTTTCTTGCATTTATTGACCTCTTAAACCCTAAGGGCTTGTATATGGGCCCACAACTTACATTAGTTTCATTGTAGGTACTAAATATTTCATAACAGTTACAGAATAATAAGTCTTTTATTTAAATAACTGAATAGTAAGCCATGGTCCAAGCAGTAACAAAGGAAAAAATATTCAGTGCACATTGAAGAAAAAAATGAAATTGTTTTATCACTAATTATGAGGACGTCCAATATAATTTTGACCCTAAATGCCCTTTAATGGTCAAGCAGAGCACTGTAATTTGTGACCATTCATTTGTGAAAGCACAATGCAGTCAGTCTGATCTGGCATGCGGCTTTTGGCAGGCTAGTTCGGAGCAGGTGGTTGGTGCTCGGTGTGTGAGTGATCCGCTCTCTCTCCCGCAGGACAGTGCAACAGAGCTGCCAGGGGCACCTGCAGCGATTCTTGGCCCAGCGAGGGTGCTTTGAGTTGGACAACATCTGCTGAGGCCTCCCCTTTTTTCTGGACAACACCATGGTAAGAGCCAAACACCATCAAGCTCAGTTGGGGCTTTTGAAGAAATGGTCTGTAAGGGATGGTTTTTCCATCCAACTGAGTCAAACAAAAATTTAAACTATGTTCTAAATTAACTATTCAAACTGAATATGTTTTGTTAACTGTGAATAAGGGGAGTCATTTATTAAAATAAGCCTGCAAAGGAATAAGATACCCACCTAAAGGTGGCCACAGAAGGTGTGGCCTAAAGATCAGTGCCAGACTCCCTAACTTATGCAGTGATACATTGCGGACTACATAACAACAGCGTGTTTAATGAGCAACCCTAGGATTGTAGTGATCAGTGTCATATAAGTTGTTGACTCACACCTCAGATTGTTTAACACTCTGATAAGTAGCGTATTCAGGTTTTATTGGATATCAGGTACTATGGGACAGGATTCAGGTTTGATCCTTGCTCCTCATGGACACAGTTGGACACATGGGGAGGGGAAGTGGGTGGCATGGTTACGTGATTGAGAATAGAGCTGTCATAATTACTCAGTCAAACTCCATTTAGAAAATAACTGAATAAAATTTACCTTTTTGATTAACTGTTAATGACTAGTCAGCAATTTCCATGATAGCGATGCATTTTAAAATCTCCTACTGGTCTTTCAACCATTAATATGCATTTTTGCCAAATGGTGTTTTTATTTTTTAATATTATGACTTTTTAAAGCCTTCCTTGTTTATCCACTTTCCAACAAAGTATTCTGCAATCTTTGAAAAGTGATGCATGGTTTGTTAAGTCCATTTTCATTGTTTGGCCTAACTCTGATTAGCCAACTAATTGTTAAATTCTAATATAATCTGTACTGACAGTGCAAATCAATAATTTAACATTCTCACAACTTGCTGGTGACTCTGCACAGTCATACGCGTCTGAGGATTCATAGGTGGATCTTTGGAGAAATATCTATGGCACTGGATAGACTATGACTAAATTTAGAGATGTGTATGTGTAATCGAGCACTCTGTTAACCATTCCAGGTGCCACTACTCAAATACTGAGATCACTGTTTGGCTATTCGTTATGCATCATCATGGAACATTAGGGAGAAAATATACAGGCGAACAATTTAGTGAAACACATTCATTTAAGTTTTAACAGGAATGTAAAGTGTGACGGTTTTGCTGACACGTCCAATTAAGAAAGTATATTGTATTATGCTTTGCTACAGTGAAGCATTAGTACCTTAAAGTCAACTTAAAATCTAACATTTCTTATCTTGTTAGTTCATGTCCCTGGTGATATTAAGCATCATACCATACCATTTAAAAGACAAAATGTTTGTTTTCCTGTAACCTTTGATTGAAAACAACTTCGAAAACACTGGGCACCTGGTTTATTGTTTTCTGCCTGCTTGAGAAGCAGATGGAACCATCATAATAACGACGATTTACAGTTAAATTTTTAATTTGGTCGTTTGATGCATTCAAGTCTAACGCATCTAATTTGGCTAATGGCCATCTGGCTTACTAGTTGCCTTTGCTCAACGCTAGTTCTGCTGACATTAAATAACATAGTGCGCTTTTCTGGGCTCGTGCAAATCTCTGCACAAAATCATTTGGAGAATCAAAGCTGATATTTGTCTCGTTGATTGTGAAGAACGCACACAAAGACTAAATTGTAATAGCATAAGTATTAGTTTCCTAATTATATCATGTCACCTTAGTGAACTCTCTGCATTGGTATAATTCTAAGACTAGAAACTAAAACATCAACATACCATTCTAGTTTACATTGTGGAGCATGTTCTGGTCATGTAATAGCCCTAGAACCCTGGAAGCATAAAGAATTTGCTAAATTGTTGTTAGCATTAGCTGCAAGTGTTACTAAAGACAGAGGAGATAGCCCTTGAGCACCTTAAGGCTTTTGAAGTACCAGGAAAGCGGAATATAGTGTGGTAGGCGTATTAAAGTGCCTGTCAAAATAGCACCACCATTGCCACCATTGTAGGAGCATCAGGATGCTGGGAACTAAAGAGTTTTCTGCATTGCCATGTACTGGGATTCCATTCTGACTATTACCATGGTATTAATATTGGATGAAGTGTGGGCTAAGTGAGTGTTTCTTTGGGAAGTTTAGCTGTCTCCAGGGTTAAACAGGCTGTTAATAATTAATGAGCTGATGATTTTTCTATGGTTGTGTAAGCAAGTTAATAGAATAATGCAATAACACACTTACTGACTGTGTAGATAGAAGAATGTGTAAGCATGTGTTTGGAAAATAATATGATTTATATGTGTGTAACGGGTCATGAATAACACGCTCAAACACACATACACCCTGCACAGTGACTATCTTCAGGTGTAGCTGTTGCATATCCTTCTAGATTAGCCCTCTGACCATCTCTCTTCTTGCTGTCATTGATTTTCTGTTTGTTTTTCAATCACATTATTTCCCGTGTGCGGTGCTGCAGCCCCCGGCTAAATGGCCCTTCACTTTCTAATTGGACATTTAATTAGATCACAGATTTGGCCCAATTAGGTGCTGTTGGGGGTAAGGGGTTTGCCTGGGGGTTGTGTGCATTAGCGCATGTGTCCCTCTATGTGTGTTTCTGCATGTGTGGACAGAAGAGTGGAAACAAAAAGAGAAATGTCTCACTCTAGGCTGGCTCATTATAGATGGTAGACAGGGGGTTTGCCATATTATCCCTCCCTCCCAACCAAAGCTCCTAGTGGCCTGTTCAAGCAGCCGCCTCGTTGTTGGCCATGGGGGATGGTCTAAGTGCAGCCAGAGTTAAAATCAATGCAGCGCTACCTCCTTCCTATCACGCTTCCTTCGTTATAGATCAGCCATTGATTGTGTTCCGTCATTGAGATTTGAGGCTCTGTCAATCATAGTGGTTAAACAAATGCAATAACGCACACAGCTGTCATATAAGTGGATTGGCTTTCATGCTACAAGGAAGCAGGTTTAGGCTTTGTTCTCACTGCTGGGAAAATCAAGTTTATTTCTTAGATCTGGCTTTTTAAACTGGCTGTTCAAATTTCAAGTTACAAGTTATAACAAGCTGTACCAGTAATATTCAGAGGCAGACTTCCAAGTTCAAATCTTTAATGAAGCATTCACTGTAAACTACAGCATACAAAGTAACATATCCAGATATCCGACTTGAATAAGAATTGGAGCCACCTGCAAACGCGGTTTGAATATGACTTTTTATTATTTTATGTGGCTTTTGCTGTTCAAACTGCAGAAAATCTGTCCTGCTCAAATCGGATATGCCGAAAAATCAGATTTGAGCTGCCTGTCTGAATAGGGGCCTAGTATTTTTAGAACATATTTTGAGTGTGGCCTAAAAATTTAATTAGTGTTTTTACAGATTGTGTCACTTAGGACTTGTTCAGATAGGCAGCTCAAATCAGATTTTTTTGGATTGGAGCAGGATAGATTTTCTGCAGTCTGACTGGCTAAAAGCCACATGAAATTTTTTTGATATGTGATTCAGATAAGGTTATGTTTGACTGGTCAGATCAGATTTCTTGTGCTTTTTAGTCATTCGGGGCATGGCTGTTTAGCACAAAAAAAGTCAGTGGTGCATGCTCACATTTTACAGCTTAGACACAGAGAGTCAAAGCTTTTAACAGCCATTTATGTAATATATGCTTTATATGTTATATAATATACTTCTAGTGCATATATCCACTTCAAATTTACACACATACTGTCTTTTGAGTTTGTGTTTAAAAATATGCACAAAGAATTACTAATTACCTAAGCTTAAATAAACATATGTTAAAAAGTGTAATTTATATTGAAAAAAGGATTCTGACACCACAAAGTAATACCGTTAGTGCTTTTCACTGTGAGTATGATATTCTTTGGATCATACGCACAACTCTTTTTCTCCAAACATGATGAGGTAAATTTTTGCCAGAGAGTTCTATTTTTGTTTTGTCTGACCAAAAAAAGGTTTATGATTTGTGTAAATGCTCATGTGCAAATTTTAGACAAGCATGTGTTCTTATCTTTTAATGGAGGAGTTTTGTGTGGGATGTAGTAATGGAGGTGATTCTGGTGCAGTTCATTGTTTATTGTTGTCTGTGTAACTTTAGTTTCTGCTGCTTTCAGGTAGTCCTGCAACTCTGTGACTGCTGGCTTCTCTCCTCTTTACCATTTGTATGAGAAATCTTGCATGACGCAGCAATCCGGGGACAATTAGTTGTGGTGCTGTGAACTTTTAAATTGCATATTATTGAGTCACTTGTACTGACAGGGATATTTAAGATTTTTGCTCCAGCTCTGTAGCTTTTTGTCATTGAATATTGTTGTCCCTAAGAACTTTAGGAAGCTCTTTTACTTTCACGCACTGCTTGTTGTGTTAAATCTTCACAACCAGTGACCACGATTTTTGGTTGTGCTAATGAATACATTTCCTTTTTCAGATTTATGAGTAAATGTCAAAAGACATGGTCTTGAAAATTGAAAGGTATGTATGCACTGGAACTATATTGGTAACACTTTACATTAAGGGTCGCTAATTAATCATTAAATATATAATAATCAACTATCAGTTTCCCATTATTTAGTTATTAGTTAACTCTTCATTAAGCATTAGCTATTACGTAGTAATTGATTAAGCACTTATCAATTAGTAATTAAGTACACTGTTAGTTGATAAGTTAGTCGTTAGTTTGTGGCTTACTTACTCATTATCTGTGTGCTAACTGCTGCTTATTACATTGTTAATTAACTAATAAGTATTTTTCTTCATATAAAGAAGTAACGTGATAACTTACTAGCACCTATGTGTTAATCCCGCTAATTATCTGTTAATTAACTTTCCATCACCTCCATATATTCAGTTGCTTCACTTTTCTTACTTTGGTTCTTGTTCATTAAAGATGCTTATGGTCACATCTGACCGTAAGATGAGCGCACAGAAATTCATGGACGGTTTTGTTATTCATCACGTTCATCTTGGCATATCTGTACTCATATCTGGTAGGAGTGCATGTAAATTTGGGCATAA